TTCCGAGCAATTTTCTTTGGATGGTCAACCAACTCGCCAGCACCAACCACTCTAGACTCAGGAGCCACATAAGCCAATCTAAACTGCACAGAGAGAGAGAGAGAGAGAGAGAGAGAGAGAGAGAGAGAGAGAGAGAGAGAGAACAAATAATTAATTTATCTGTCAAGACTCTAAACTGATCAAGTTATCTCATCACATAACATTTAGTTTCTTGTATTTATATTCTCTGTCAAATAGCATGCCATCAAATTAAATAAAACATGGTACTTTTATGACATTCAATATAGGACGAATTTCAATTATAGAAATAATGAAAAGTACATTAAGAAATCTGAAGAACGTAACAAATCAATAATCTAGTTTTTGAAACAGAATTTATTCTCACGGCATTTGTGTACTTCTTTCGTTAAGGACATTGGTGGGAGATCTTGGTTATGGTTCCAAACAGCCAGTGAGATCTTGGTTATGGTTCCAAACAGCCAGTGAGACTACCCTATGACTAGTGCCCAGATTATCCCTGATCTACTGAGCACAGAGTCATTACTGGACAACTGAACTAATTCAGTGGAAACCCAGTCAGTGATGCATCAAAAGCTGTTCACCATCTTAGAATAAAATAATAAAAAAGAAGCTTTAAGACATCATCAAAGGATGGTAATGAAATGCATCGTATATGAAAATTATTCACAGAACTAAAGAAGAAGACCAAGGATAGTGAACCAAAATGAGTTTCAAATGGATGAGAGGAAAGGAAATCTTTACCTGAAGGAGTATGTGCATCAAGTATATAAAATCAGTCATGCTTCTAAAAACCACAAGTGTTGTCGTCATGGGCCAATCAAGAACTATGCATTTATTATCCTGCATCCAAAGACAGGGAAATCAAGTTGAAAAGAAATGAACCAAAAAAACTTGTTTCTCAGTTACTGTCTTCTCCTCAGAAAGGCACCATTACAAATAGATAAAGAAAATTTGTAAAATTTAGAGACCAAAAACACTTGTTTCTCAGTTACTGTTTTTTCCTCTCCATGGGCAGGAAGATGCTGGGCCTGTGGTGGGGTGTTGGCTTCACATACATTGTTGACCTAACAGCTTTAGTTGTTAGAGTATAGCGGTTGTCTAACAATTACATGTTAAGCTTATGTTCTTTTCAGGGAAATCCTTTCTTTCATCTTGTACAGGATAAAGATAAAAGGAAGATACTTTCAAAAACTGATAGAAACCCTTCAGAATTAAAACATATCGCCAATTCCTTAACATCAAAGAAGTCATATGGCACATACATGCTGAACTTAGTAGGATATGAAAAATAATCCCAAAATGCCGCCAAGAAAACAGTGAATAAATTGAATTTAGAATTCATGAAATGACAGGGCAGAAACAAACAATACCTTTTGAACAGACAGCAAGAAGAAAAACAATGGATCTACAAAAATTGCTACTAAGCATGAAATGACAAAAAACTTGTTCCACTGTTGCACCACTTTAGCATGAGGGTTCATAACTCCAGGAATATATGGATGCAGAAAAGAGAAAAATCTCCTCGCCCAGCCTTTGGCATCCCCATAGAGAGCATTATGGAACTGCAAACAGTTGACAATAAAAGAAATGTGCATAAGATTCTTGGAGTGCTTGTATACCATCATTCCAGAAAATAAAATCGAACATGTAAATTTTGTTGTTAAATCTCAAGCAATATGGCTCGTTTGGGAGTGATTCTAGATAGGCAGAATCACTTCTGGGAAGAAGCACCTCCCACGTGCTTCTCTAGAAAATCACTTTTAGTGATTTTAATTTTAAATGGTTTTGGGGAGAAGAAATGGGATATATAATGCAGCTTGAGGGAAAATATTGCTTTTGCATACAGGGATGAGTTGAGTTTGTATCAGGAGCCAAGTGTTTCCAATCCTGGAGCCGATAGGGACCCTTAGCATTGTCCCACAATGCCTAGATACCTTTGGTGGACACTCTTTCCTTGTTAGCCTTCAGGGATGATTTTTCCCCATGGGTTTAACAACTTATGCCACCACCGTTAACATAATGCTGCAATCATACACAAATACTCCTCCAGGATCACTGTCATTTGTCTATAAACAATATCATCCCAGCTCTGTAGGAATCTGAACGAACCATTCACCAAGAGAGGGAAACCAGTAGGGGTACAGACATTGTATCCATTCTCTCGGCCACTATTGATTCACCATGTTCACTTGCCCTTCGTCAATTTATCAAGTAGTCCAATCTACTAATACGCTTTTACCATGAAGCAAAGGGGAAGAAATGCAAAATTCTAATTTGTTGCTACCATTACTTCCTCAAAATTTTACAGTAACATACCAAAGAATAAGTAAAGGTGATGGGATTTAGTGGCATCTAACTAAATGAGAAGCCTGAGACAGCCGAGCTCCTAATCATTTGACGGGATTAGACGCAAAACTATAAATATTTTTGGTAGAGCAGTTATTTTAAGTGGTCATCATGCAGAGCATATCATAAAAGGCAGCAACAATGTAAAAATAGAAAATAAAAAGTCCTCTGAATAAAGAAAGAAAAACACCTGGGGATCAAATATACCGGAAGCCCTTGAGTGTTGTGGCTGAGCAGCCTTGAGATTGTATGTTGGGCAAGTTGTGCAGTAAGGATCATTGCACATCCCTAATTGCCCAGATCTCAGTAAGTGTTCATTTTTTCCAGCATAGTTGTCATCTGTCCATTCATTCTGGTTTGTCACATTAGTAGAAGGAAACTTTTCTCCTGCAGGTTCGACTGCTTCTTCTTGCCCTGGTACAGCTTGAGTTGGCCGTAAAATGTTATCAGGCCTGCGTCTATATAATGGACCACTCATAGGGAGGAATGGAGTTTTTGTTTGACTCCTCAAGGGACCAGTATGGCTTACAAGGCTAGCCTCCCTTTCATATGACAAGTCCATAGAGTCCATAGGAATGGAAACTGATGCACTTCTGGTTCGTGACGTAAATCTCTCAAATTGTAAGTGCACATTTTCATCTGATAATTGTGGGTGAGTGTCCGATAGCATGGGTACCTCATCTCTTTCATAACCAGCCATTTCTCACAAATTGGACCTAAAAAAGGGGAAGATAATATGAATTGCAATACATGGGCATTGATGCTAGTTTAATTTTAGTTCATAAGGTTGAAACTTCATTAAATCAACTCCAAGAAAAAAAGAAAAGAAAGAAGAAATAGATAGTGAAGATGAAAGACGCTTGCAGCAGGGAACAAAGCTTAAATGTGTGGCGAAGAACATAAGACTATATCACTTGCAAATTAAATTACTATTTTTCCTTTTTGCTGCTAGTTTCAAGGCATAAATTTGCAGTACTTCAAACTTTGAGTTTGAGCTAGGCACATTCTCAGGCACGCATATATAATAGAAAAATTTAAGAGAAAACATACACATGTTTAAAAGGATCATTCATGCTGAATATAACTAGAAACAAAAGAAAAAAGAAAAAATAAAAAGCAGCATGCATTATTGGAGCTGAATATATGTAACGGGAAGAAAAGAAAAGAGAGAGAGGTAGCTGTTAAATTACCTGAACCCCAAGGAGAAGCAAAGTTTAATAAGTGGTTGAACCTGAAACTGGAGGATCTTACGTACGAATTAACAAACTTAAAAAGACACATTCTTTCTTTCTCATCACGGGGGAGCGAGAGAAGAGAGAGGTCGTCGAAGACTAAAAGCGTTGACTGAGCACAAGGACTAAGAAGGTAGAGAGAGAGAGAGAGAGAGGAAACTAGTTGGATGGAATGGAAGAATAAGATACGAGACCGGTAAAACAGAGGAAGCTTCGATAAAAATAAAAAAAATTGGAAAGGCAACGTAGGCTTTGGTTGGAGAGGTGGCACTCTAAAGGAGGCGAGGACGGACAAGAAGACAAACAAACCTTTCAAATCAAATGTATGCAATTATTACTCTGTTAATAGTATGCTATCCCTCCTTCCTCCTTGTTTACTTTTCTTTGTTTTGCTCTTTGTTTTACTCTATTAATAGTAAGCTTGCCAATTGCCAATTGCCAATTGCCAAACTATGAAATCAAATTCCAACTCAAACACTTGATTATTTGTTAACTTAAGTTAAGCCTATGGTATTTTCAATTATTAATAAATGATTCGCAAATCATTCATTAACGACATAATTATTATGACTCGGTAAATTATTGGAAACTTGAAACTGAAATGGAATTCATTATGACTCAGTAATCCAAATTAAAGCATATCGTTGGTGGGTGGGTGTCCAGCAGAGACACTTGGTGGGCTGCATTGGACACTTATTAAACCCATCTTGATTTGGGCCAAAGTTTGTTCCTTCTGTCCTTGATCCATAATATTATTAATTACCACCCCACCACCAGACTACTTCTGACTTCATTAGAAGATTAAATGTTAATTAGGAAAAAAAGAAGAAGAAGAAGAAGAAAGAAAGAAAGTCTTGGCCCCTACTTTCTAATGTTCTATGGTGCAGGTGGAACAGGAGATGCAGATTGTCAACAAAAGTTATATATTCTACACTTTTATTTCTTTTCAAGCAAGATATTGAAACTAACAGAGTGGGACTGAGTCAAATCAGGCTCTTGAAAATTCTGTCACAGGTAGCTTCTAATTTCAACTGCTAATTAACTCAAATAGCACAGAATTTGCTATTGATAATTAGTTTTCTTTTATGCATGCAAAAGTGCCAAAAAATTACTACATTAATAATTAATTTTCTATGAAAAATCTAAAGAGAGAGAGACTCATCCATATTACATATATACACCTACGCACGGTAATGAACCAAGTCTTTACCTGCTTCAAAATCTAATATAAAGTCTATACCTGCTTCGATCCACAGGGAAAATCCAAGACCAGTTCATGAGTTTCTGTAATCTATAAATAGCAAGTGTCCCACGCAGGATTTCCAAAGCAACTCTTCTTCTACACAATATATATTCTAAGATTTAAAGAGAGCTACAGAGGAGAGGGGACAAATACGAACGATGATGAAAGGTGTTCATTTCCCGCTATCTATTGTTGCCACATTGGCATTGGCCACCTTCCTCGTCTCTGCCTCAGACCCCAGTCCTCTGCAGGACTTCTGCGTAGCAATTAATAACACCGAATCTGCTGGTATGTACATGCATATGCATATGCATGCACTACATTATTTTCATATTGTAATTCGTATAAATTAATTACTAGTAAAATTTATTGTTTTTGCATGGCTCATCATCCATATATATGTACAATCCCTCAATAGTATATATGCATATATAGGTTTTAGTGAAATTTAAAGATTGGTTAACTTTTGTTTGTTTGTGTTTGTTTAACTTTGTCTATACAAACAGTGTTTGTGAATGGGAAATTCTGCAAGGACCCCAAGCTTGTGACTGCAAATGATTTTTTCTTCTCCGGGCTCAGAATTCCTGGGAACACATCAAATCCGGTCGGTTCATTCGTGACACCAGCGAATGTGGAGCAAATAGCTGGACTCAACACTCTTGGCATATCCCTGGCTCGCATAGACTTTGCACCAAACGGCCTCAACCCTCCTCACACCCACCCACGCGGCACAGAATTTCTCATAGTCTTGGAAGGCACACTCTATGTTGGCTTCGTCACATCCAATGGCGACAACAATCGGCTGTTCACCAAGGTGTTGAACAAGGGAGATGTGTTTGTGTTCCCAGTTGGTCTCATTCACTTCCAGCTCAACGTGGGACACGTCAACGCTTTAGCCGTTGCTGGTCTGAGCAGCCAGAACCCAGGAGTAATCACCATAGCCAATGCAGTGTTCGGGTCAAACCCTCCTATCAACCCTGATGTTCTAGCCAAGGCATTCCAGATCGACGACAAGGAGGTTGAGTATCTTCAGAAACAGTTCTGGTACAACAACAATTAATAATCAGATTATTCATAACAAAAGGCCAAGGCACTAATATGCATGGATTCAAGGTGGCCAATATGAATTTTTTCTAAGCTCTACACAAATTATAATCTAAATCTAGCTAATGTTATTAATTAAATAAGATAGTTTGCTTATGCAATCTTGTAATCCTAGCCCTTCAGTGGCATGTTTTGAGTATTAATTGATATTGATATAGTAGTGTTATGTGCGTTCTATCTCGACCTCTTACTTGACTTAAATCAAAAGATGCAGTTGTAGCTAGCTAGCAAGCCGGTTAACTTCCTCATGGGTCCTTCATTAGTTAAAAGGTTCAACAATCCTTCCATCAAATCTGCTGATGGTCCTATTAAAACTCTATATCACTTGGATTAAAAGAAACAAGCACCCTGCAGTAAAACGAAAGCTATTCTTAAAATTTAATTGAATCAACTTTGGCTTGATTTTAGCCTTCCAACGGTCTCTATCTACATATATTATATATTCCAATTTTCGAAACAGATACAAGGAAAAGCATTATATATACATTTGTGTAACCAAACAAAACAAAAAGAAACAGAGAAGCTATATACATATGGAACCACTTCCATGCATAGGTAAAGATGCAAAGAAAAAGGGGGTGGAAGCGGGGAAGTTGGTCACTCCTCTCTCTCATCCGAGGTTGGATGCTATCTGAATGTAGCAAAGCTTGATGTGGAATTAAAAACTACTCGATGAGTTGTTAAAATGATTTAATTAAGATTCTGAGCAGTCACCAGCGTTGCCTGGAGAGGAAGAATTCATAGTCCGGATGCCTGTTTACAGATGTCATACTTCCTTTGTTCACAACAGCTCTTGCCATAAGAGACGCTGTCTCCTCAAGTGTCCTCAAACGCTCTTCTAGTACTGCATAAGGGTTTAAGCCCGGTGTTACTGTTGTCTGCCTCAGTGTTGAGGGCCTTAGCTGGAACCAGCATTCATCCTGTTCAAGTGACAGATAGTATATATTGATTAATAAGCTTCACAGATCTTACACTATGCATTAACTGCATGCCAAAGCTATGCTATGCACTGTTACTCATGACTACCTGAGCATTGTAACTTCGAAGACCTACAACTGGAGATACCATACAAGAGTCCACATTACGAGACTCAAATTTGGCATGTCTATGGACCAAATGACCAAGTGAATGGTAAGTTAGAAATGCCGCACGGAAGTTGCCATCAGGTATCCTGTAAATAGGATACCATGCCACTGAGTACCTGAAAACCAGATGACACTTGAAAGTTACCTACTATTTAGAATCCACTCAGTGTCAATTGTATTAATGTCTGCAAAACACATTAATTCACATTTTTAAAGAGTCTGAAGCCAGTTTGATTACTAACCAGGATCTGGGATGCAGATCATTTAGATTTATAGAGTCTAGTTTAGTTGGATCTCCATATACTTTGGAATGTGACAGTCCATCACCTCTAACAAGCTCCTTTATCCTGAAAGGGAGGGAAACAGGATAAGATCATCTGAAAATACATAAAGTAAAAAGCATAAAAGGATACTTACTTGTCATATAAAGGTCGTCTCTCCTGAGGTTGTTCTGATTCAAAATATTCAAATAGTAGCTCTAAATCACTGGACCCTGTTGTGTCAGCCAATTGAGCAGATACATCTTTGGCAGCAGCTGAAGATTGTTCTGAAATACACAATTGATTTACAAGTGGTGGGGTTACTGCATGTTCCTTGTGATCAGGGTGAGGAAAAAGTACTGAAAATATTGGAAGACTACCAATGCTAGAGAATTTTTTGGGTGTCTTACTGATCCTGCATGTGCTTAACTCCTGAGAACTACGAAGCCTATTGTTAATATCTACAGAATCAGTACTTCTACCGTTCCTGAAAAGCTGAATTCCTGACAAATAGGGGACAAAATAAGCACGAAATGCAAAATGATCAGCACCCAACCTCTTTGAATTTCCAAATTCCTCTGCCCTTATTTCCAGCCCATAACTACCATATTTCTCATACCACTGCCATAGGCATCCTAAAGTGATGTGAGGTGTCTCATGTCTGCAAAATGACACACCATCAACCTGATCCACCTGGTTCCTTGAGCAGCAAGTATGACAACTTATAGAATTCGGCGATTGATGGATAACAGGGGAGGAATAATAAAGAAGTCGTTCAAATTCAGCAATTGGACGGCCAGTGGCCATTTGAACAGCTTCGGATGCCAATTGTGCCCTACAAGCATTATTCACTGCTTCAAGTATTCTGTTTGACTCTGCTTCAAATACATTGAGATCTTTGGATACTGCAGAATCATTGATGCAGTTTGCTACATCAAGCTTGTTATTGGCCAGATCTTCAATTGTGCTTGATTTTGAAAGCCTTCCATCAATTGCATCAGAAGAACAGGTTACATCTTCAGAATTCTGACCTGTGCACCCTACTGCAACTTTAGAAACTAGATTTTGAGCATTGGACACCACATTCCCTTTAGCAGTGTCTTTAAGAGCCCATCTCTTAGAAGCAGCCTCATCAGAATGTTCAAGAGATGAACTGCCAGATCTAGTAGAGCTTGGCAACCCAGGATTCTTCAACCCAATCGGCATCCACTTGTGTGTAAGAGATCCAGAACTACTAGAGTTTTGCCTGCTGCTTTCCGCAAGAGAAACTTCTTTCTGTACTTCTTGACTTCTTGCGTTACAAAGTAAATGAGGAAGGTAGACTGGAGACTGCAACTGAAGCAGATTTGATTCACTCAAGGAATCCCATTTTCTTTGCACCAAGCTATTCTTGTTTCCTACACAGACACTTTCAAAATGATCCATTTCATTTTGACAAAGTTTCATGTTGTGACCTGATTCAGACATCATGCATTCTACTTTGCTGCTCTGATATCCACCCCTTGGACAGCTAGGCGGAGAACAAGATCTCGAAACAAGACTTAAGGATTTCTTATCCTTCAACTGAGAAGAGATATCCAATATATCATTCTGATCCATCCTGGCCTTCGCACAACCATCTAAGCCAGCAATGCTGGCATGCGAACCCTTTCTGGAATAAAAATTGTATTCTTGTTTCAAAGATGGCCCGGTTTTTCTTTTCAATTTCTTAGAGACCTTCTCTTTTTGCTGCTTTTTATCCTCACTCTTCGAAAAGGCATTTACATCAGCAACATTAGAGGTTCTTTTAAGCAAGGGAGCCTCTCTCAAAGGGAGATCAAGCCGTGAGTAAACAGAACTTGCCTTTTTCAACTCACCAGTGCAGTCACTGGAATCATTCCTCTGGACCTTTTGCCAGACAGAATGATTGTTTTCCTTTCCTATACGAATATGCAGATTTCCATTACTTCCAAATTTAGAGACATTTGCAGTTCGCGGTGCTACTTTGTTTTGTTTACTTCTCTTGTTAGGCACAACCAATTGCATGTCATTACTGCGACAACCCTGAATACCATGTCTTGCTTCCTCAGTGTGATCATAATTGTCTACAACATCATTTAAAAATCTTTGACAAGAAAAACGTCCCTTCCCGGAACTCAAACCTGGAGGTTTAGAAATATCTATCTTGAAATTTCCTTCTCAGCATGGTTTTCATCATGACCAGCATTAGTACTATCACCACTGTTTGAACCAATTGAAATTGAATCCAAACGAAGGAGTCATGCATATCAGAGTAACCTTTGGTATACATATCACTGTAACAGCTCACCTGTGTATGAATACCCTCCATGTCATCAAAGATGGGAAATCCAGAGTCTTTAAGTAGAAGCTGATTTTCAAAATTGCCAACAGAAGGAATACCAACCTCATCACTCGTGTTTGGTGTTTCAGAATTCTTGGGGCCGCTATCTGGCAATGAAATTTCTGGTGCAGTTGAAGACGACACTTGTCCGTCCCCATCATTGTTACCACAGGGTTCAGAAGCTGAACTTCCATTGGCATATTCCTGAGACAACACTTCCGGTTCATTAGACACCTTCGTGCTCTGTTTTCCCTTCTTTCTACTCTTCTTTCTGGAACTTCTTTTTGCAATGCTGTTTATTTTTTTATTACCAATGCTCATAGTTGAGGAATTAAAAGAGTTAGAACCATTTGGGATGGTACTTGAGGAATCACTGCAGCCATTATGGAAAGATTTCCGGGAAAGTTCATTCCATTTAGTAGCTTTATTTGCCAAAGTCTTATTTCGAGATTGGTGACGTACAGCTGAGCCAGTGAACCTTCTACCTGTAAATGACTTGACAGAATAAGTAAAATCAAGAGGAGGCCCTTTCCGCATCTTTTGTCGATTAACCTTGAATGGATTAATTGGTGGTGGGTAAACCAGATGCAGAGTATCCATATTGACCAGAGTACCAGATACCAAGTGATTTATATTGTCAGGACATAGCGGCGGCAGTGCCACAGTTCTCCAATGTCCGTCAGGTTCACGGAAAAGCACTGAAAGGATAGGACACCTGAGAAGTTAAAATAAGTGATGAATAGACAGTCAGTTCCTTGACGCTCCCATCAATCAACTCAGCTTGTCAATGAACAATAATAGATCAGATGATTCTACCTGCCATACCAAAACACTGGCCCATACTTTACTTTAATGGTAACTAGTACAATAGTACTCTCATCATGCATGCAAAATCTCAGTACGCAGATTAAACAAAATCCTATCTGGAAGGAAGTGCTAATGCAAAATCTCAGTAATGACAGCAAAAAGATAGGGACCATGTATACATGGGCATATATGCATATGCCCATGTATTATGTATTAGATGTACATATGCATTATGCATAGCCAACAAGCCTATATAGTGTAATCGAGATATGATGATTGAGAAATATGCAAAACCATCGAAGAAACAGTGGTATAAACATACGTACTTAACAATTAATCAGAAGACAGAAAACACGTGAACTAAATCTATTGGATTAGTTTCACCATAGAGCTGTGAGAAACAATCAATTAGGCAATGACAATTGAAACAACATTATTACCTACGATCAGAGTTCCTCCCTGTGAAATAAGGCACTTCACAATCCTGAAAATGGTAGTAATCCAGAGAAAACTAGTCAGATAATCAAATTCAATTCATAGCAGAAAAGTGAAGTATATCAAATTATTTTGCAAAATAGACATATATATTACATCTAAAGATGTTCTGAAACTCTTTTGCTCTTTCTTTGATAAGGAATATCTTCGGGTGTCCGAATTTTTCTGGATATCACTGTTAGTTCTTTGAAGGGCACAATGCATCTTTTACAGTGCCTGTCCATATCATTAGCACACAATATAAAACAGTTAATGATGGTCTGATACAAAAAGGTTTTAATGTATTCAAGATTTACACACTTCACACTATCAACAGAAATAGAGGATAAATTTTGCCGATCCTCCTGGTTCTCTTTTGGGTGGGTTTGGTTCTGGTTACGAGTTCCATTTGTCTACAATAATACTCTTAACACAAAACTAACACAACACTACCATAGGAAAAACAATGCATTAGTAAGTGTATCAATCCAGTCGAATCAAATATAAGGAAGGTTGATAATCACGTAAAGGGCAAACCTTATTTGAACTTTGACAAATAATTTCAAATTAGGAAATCCGGAAATGAAAGTATAATTCATACTCTTCCAAATATTCATACTCTACGGATAAGAACATTAACGAAGAAGGCAAAGTACCTCAAGCTGTTGAAGATGAAGGTCCAAACAAGGACAGAAGTTGATTCCCTTTGATCATCAAACAAGTAGAAGGCATTGGTTCATAACATACAAGCTGACAACCAAACATAGGTCACATTCACCACTGCTACAAGTGCCCGTTTAAACAAAAGGATCGAAATTTAAAGCACAAATACAAAGATACATAAAAGAAAGAAACCAGAGAAAATAGAAACTACAATGGCTTGCTCACAATCCTCAGACTAAAATTCTATCTACCAGTCAAAAGAAACCCACTTATCAAATTTAGACAGAAACCTAAATTACCAACTAACAAAACCCAGCTAAATTTATCCAACAAAATTCCGGGAACCAAAAGAAAGAAGGGAAATAGCCTGCATGGTTATTTTTTGCTCCTTGAGCACCCTGAAAATTTCCCTACAAAGATAATTCAAAAAATGGAATTGACTAACTTGAATCGTTGATTAGGAATCTAGTACTAAATTTGACAAGAACCCAAAAATCAAAATCACCGAAAAATTATCTATTTTTTTTTAAAGATCGCAGAAAAAGCTCCCCAAATTTAGCTGTGAGGTTTAGAAAAACATGAGTGTATAGCAACAGCTAATAAAATATAAAAAAATACTAGAGGCACCATAGCCTAACACGTTGAAAGTACACACTTTTCCAAATGGTATGCTTAAAAAACCGGACTTTTAGTGCCCATAGCCTGGCAAACAAAATTGGAGATGGAGGCCAGCCACCAGCCTCCAGCCTCCATATTTGGAGTCTAAAATTATGACTACTTAAACAGCAAACTTTATCCTTTTTTTCTTATATATTTAAAACATACATTTGTGTATTTTATCAAAAAATTATATGTAAAACTTCTTCCTTTTTGGGTCATAAATATATATAAAGACCTGATGCTTTAACATTGGTGATTGAGTTGATGAAGAGAGTCTTGAAAATTCACATACCATGGTGAGCTCTTTTTGTTTGTATCAATTGGCCTCTTTGAAAAGACCTGATGCTATGTTTCAGTGGTTAATAGACCACTTGGCGGCAAGAAAATTTACCTTCTGTTTTACTCATGTGATCGACAAAAAAAACATAAAAATAAAAAATCTTTTACTCATGTTTTTGGTCGAACGCAGAAGGAAAAGAAAAAAAACTCCAGAGACGACAAAAATTGCGTCAGAAAAAGAGAGCAGATTAGCACGAATGAAATGAAAAATGTTGTGCAATCGCAGCTTCCCCATTCCTCCGATTAACAAAGTCACCACCGTCATCACCCAACACAACGTACACAATCACAAACGCCTCGACATTCTCAGACTGTTTCAGTCTCATCAGACTCGCACAATGGAAGTGGAGGCCAACACCAACAGTTCCCATACGAGGGCGGTGGGGTTGGACTTCCTGACAAAGAAGGCCTACACTCCTCCTTCCTGGGCATCCCATATCAACCCCATCCCTTCTCATATCTTCTCTCTCGGACACGTACGATCAAATTCTAACCTTCCTCTTCTTCAATTTTTCTACATGATTATGGTTTCTGTTTGTATTGATCAGCTAATCACTTGTCAGCTTCCAACTCCAATTCACAAATGGAATCTTCCTAATTTGCCCACCAATACTGAAGTCTGGTTGAAGGTATTTCTTTTCTCTCATTTTTCTCTTATGTTTTCTCTTTCTCCTCACTTATATTTGCTTTCATATAGAAAATCCCAAAATTCCATTTGGGTTTTGTCAAATGTTTGGTATTGTCGACTGTCTGTTCCTCGTTGAGTCCCCTTATAGACTGATCAATTCTGAAACTTCTACTTAATCAAAAGTTGAGACCTTTAAATGTAAAGTAGTAAAATTTCGTATGCAATTTCTCTTTTTTAAACCTTCAATAAGCTTTAAGTCGTTGAATTGTTGCTTTGGTGTTGTGTTTTCACTTTCCTGGTTTATACTGACAGAAATATTTGTAAATATCTAGCGTGATGATCTTTCGGGAATGCAACTGAGTGGTAACAAGTAAGAAAATTGGAATTCTTGATGGCGGATGCCGTAGCGAAGGGTGCTGACTGTATCATAACGATAGGGGGCATCCAAAGTAACCACTGTCGTGCAACTGCAGTGGCTGCCAAGTATCTCAATCTTGACTGTTATCTCATTCTACGTACCTCCAAGGTGAATTTCCATCTCTCAGTTTTAGCACTTTTTGCCCCATCTCTTTGCTTAATGCCTCATGATGCACTGCAGGTTCTCGTGGACCAAGATCCTGGACTGACAGGCAATCTCCTTGTTGAACGTCTAGTTGGAGCTCATGTTGAACTAATTTCAAAAGAAGAGTATGCAAAATTCGGCAGTGGGGTGTGTTAGTTTTGCTTTTCCTTTGAATTAACCATGTATTTTTTAATGTTTATCAAGTAATATTTAATTAAACACACATTTTCTTATAGCTTATTGAATGTTCCTCCTTTAGTCTTTTTAGCAATGTTACTGTCTCTGGTTGAAGTCTGAAGTTGAAACACCGATCTCTGGCTAAGTAATTCTTTTAAGACGCATTTTTTATATACTGCATATCAAGTGATATTTGTGGTTTAAGTGGACAGTGTCTCAACAGATAGGGGAAGAAAACCATACAGCCAGCCAACTATATTACTGTTCTACCAACATGCATTTTTTTTTGGTCGAGAACATGCATTTCTGATACTAATGAATTTATAGATTACCTTTGCTAAATCTCTAGTGATTTGGGTTCTTATATTCAATTTGGTCTCAGGCTCTTACTAATATCTTAAAGGAAAGACTGCTAAAAGAAGGAAGAAGGCCATATGTTATTCCTGTTGGTGGATCAAACTCCCTAGGAACCTGGTGAGATTGGGTTTGCCTTTCTATTGAAATGTGCATAAACTGTCTGTTTAATAATAATTTGTTTCTGTACACTTTAACTGCTATATTTTTCCCTCTATCTCCTTTCTATCTGCCATATATTTTTTAAGTATTCATTTTGGGTTCCTAGAATTTGATGCAATTTCTTTGCTTCACAGTGGAAATGAGAAGTATTTCCTATTTTGCAACCCGAAGTTTTCTAGTATGGTATCTGGTACCTGTTTTTCACTTTAATCCATCATAACTCGTGTCATATGGTATAAACCTAATGGTTGGGGTCTTCAAAGTGAGAAGGGAGAAGGGAGGGGTGAGGATTGTGAGGTTTCAGTTTCCTGTTCAAAGTTGATTATGATGGCTTCCATTTCTTTTTTGTTGATATTATCACATTTGCGTATAAAAAAATTTTATATTCAGGGGGTATATTGAAGCAATTCGAGAGATTGAGGAGCAGCTTCAGAGTGGGACCGACAAAGTAAAGTTTGATGATATTGTTGTTGCTTGTGGCAGGTGATTTTCTATGCCATCTTATTTTGAGTTGATATAACAAGTCCTGCATGCCTGCCATATGTGACAAATTTTTTCATGTCCTTTATGTATGGATCTTGAGATATGGAATTGTCAATTTCTAGTCAGTTTTTGATACGAGACAGTAGGATCCTTGAATCGAAACCATTTGTTTTTTGTCTACTCAGCCTTGTTTTCGTATTTGACGGTTCTCACTTTCCTTTAGGTTAGCAAATTTATTTTTTTTTCACGAAACCAAACTTTTCTATAATCTACAAATGAAAAATGAATTTTATCTTACATGTTTACGAGTATAATACTGTAACATTATAGAATAAGTTTATGGTGATCGTGATTATTATTATTACTTCCATCTGTAATGTTTTCATGTAATCGATTTCCAGTGGGGGTACAATTGCTGGTTTGTCATTGGGCTCTTGGCTGAGTTCGTTGAAGGCAAAAGTATGTCATTGGATTCCTTTCTGTAGATAATTAATTTGCTGCCCTTGACATGTCATGTAATTATTTGTTCCTTTTGCTCTGCAGGTCCATGCCTTTTCTGTCTGTGATGACCCTGATTACTTCTACGACTATGTTCAAGGCCTACTTGATGGACTTGAGGCAGGCATTGATTCACGTGATATTGTTAACATTCAAAATGTGAGGGTCAAAGCAGATTAGACACTATTGTTAGCATTGAACACATGATTTATGTTGCTTCGTACTACATGTTCTTTTAAGGTTGATCTTACAGTAGTTTGCCTACACTATACAAGTTGTACATGTGCATCCTCTACAGAAAAATGAAATCCTAGATTGGAAAATCGTGGGTTGTAAATTGTAACTATTCATATGTTACCATTATGAGATGATGTGCATATAGTTTTACACACAATGTATGTGCTGATCAATTGTAAGTTATTATATATTGTAAGCACCAAAAAAGGAAGTAAATGTATTGTGGTTTGACAGGCCAGAGGTCTGGGCTACGCAATAAACACGTCTGAGGAGCTTAAGTTTGTCACGGAGATTGCTGCAACCACTGGGATTGTTCTGGATCCAGTTTACAGGTCCTGTTTTATTTCCACAACTCTCTGTTTATGTTTCCATCTTTGTGCCATCACTTCCCTTTAGGAAGATAAATGGTTAAATTATTCATAGTTAATCCTGAAGTATGAACTGCAACTCTCTCTCTCTCTCTCTCTCTCTCTCTCTCTCTCTCTCCTCTCTCTCTCTCTCTCTGTGGCTTTTCTCTTCTGGGATCACTGATTTATGATGTCATTCCTTTTTTAGTGGCAAAGCTGCTTATGGAATGTTGAAAGACATGGCTGGGAATACAAAGAAGTGGGAAGGAAGAAAGATCCTCTTCATACACACAGGTGGGTTACTTGGGTTGTTTGACAAGGTAGAGCAGATGGCTCCATCATTGGGAAATTGGCGTCGGATGGATGTCCAAGAATATGTTCCCCCGAGTGATGGTATCGGAAAAATGTTCTAGTGTCGAAATAAAGCAAAGAAAAGAGTCCAGTGCTCTATTAATAGAGATGAGATCAGAATCCTCAATCAGTGTATACTGTACTGAATGATGCATAAGAAACGATCTCATATCAAATAAGATAATTACAGCAGGTTTGTATTTCGTTGTGCTTTAATGGTGTATGGTTTGTGAAAATGGATGTATAATTGTTGTTTCTGTTCTGAGTCGTGTCTCGTGTAAGAAAAATAAGTGGGCCGCTCTTTAAATATATAAGAATATTTTTAAGTCTGCGGCTATACGTCACAAAATGGTTTTTACTTATAGCCTTTTTTAATTACTTTAGTTAGTAATTATGTTTTAATTATTATTTCTTTAGTAAATATTTAGTATTTAAATATTTTACTAATTTCATAAAATACTTAATAAATAGTAATTAATTATTTTAAATTATTTTATGGCCTTTGTTTTTTCCTTTTTTAAACCTTGTCAAGAAAGATAACTTTTACTTCACTTGCTTATTGTAATTTGATTTATATTAAGACAAATTAAAATTCTATCACAATCTTTCATATATAGGTATGATCGTAAAATTGTGATAGTGAATTACATATTATTTTTTAATAAATTTTTTCAATTATATTTATTAAAATTAATTGAAATCTACTTTACAATGTTAAGTTAACTCTTTAAATGTTAATGTACTTTAAGTAAATTTAGGTTTTAGTCACAAAAAAACTTTTACTTTTGGAAAAAGCAAAAAAAAATTCAAAAAAGACAAAAAAACCTCTCAACTTTCAAACCAAAGACATATAAATGTAAAGGATTCCTTAGGAAATCCAAAATTAAATACGGGCAATTTTGTCCATTTTAGCTTCTTTTAAAAATTTTCTCTCTCCTTTGTCTGTACTCTTTAAATATATACGAATATTTAAAATACAAATTTATAAATAAACCCAATCCTAGACATGTATTTATAAAAAAACCCAAGCACTATTTAAACATAGAAACACACTCAAAATCAACCCCAAAGTCAACTTTTTGGGTGTGTTTATAAATGGGTTTTGAGTGTGTGTAATAATGGGTTTTGGGTGTATTTATATGGTTAAATAGTGCTTGGGTTTTTTTATAATTTCAACCCCCATTTTGGGTGTTTTAGTGAAACTCCCTATTTAAAAAGTATATCTGCGCGGCTATACTCTTTAAATGTATTCTAATATTTTACAAGTATAGCCGAGCGGCTATACTTCACAAAATGGTTTTTACTTATAGCCTTTTTTAATAACTCTAATTACTTTAATTAGAAATTATGTTCTAATTATTATTTCTTTAGTGAATTATTAGTATTTAAATAATTTATTAAATTTATAAATTACTTAATAAATAGTAATGAATTATTTTTTATTTATTTAGTTTAATATTTGCAATTAAGTATTATCTTAGCTTTATTTGCAATGACCATACCAAGCCGGACTGTACTTAGAAAGGAAAATCTGAAGAGAACCTTGTGACAATCTCTTATGCTGCACAAGTGTGTGAGGCAGTGTGTGTTTGGGGCCAATCCTAAGAAAGCTCTTCTTGTTGGGTTGCAATACACCGATTTCCATCCACGGCATTGAATCGATAGCCCTGTTATCACATCTTCAACTGGACATCCATATTTCAATCCCATCTGCAAATTTTTCAAGATTCATAGATATATCAAGCTCCTCAAATTAATTATGTGCACTTGTTGTGGCACAGACTGAGACAGAAAAAGAGAGAAAGTAGACCTCTTTCCCCATTCGGTGTTCTGTTCAAATGTACAGCTTACAAGACTCTTTGAATTTTCTTCCAATTCATGAATGCCACTTTCTTCTCTTTTTCTGCTGATCTCCCACTTCATATCACTCTTAGATCCCTTGATGAAGTTCCTTCCACAAAGGGTATCTCTTCTGTGAAAGCATCCACTTCCAATGTATAATGGGCCCTCATAACCATCCGAACCATGCATTTCCACCTTCACATTTTAATACGGATACAGAAAATTTTCTTGGGAGAGGTCCCCGCATATGCGCTCGACAGTACCTCGGAAGATTAGGCATGGGCCATGCCTGGGGATACCTAAAAAAAAAAAAAAAAAAAAAAAAAAAAAAAAAAAAAAAAAAAATTTTAATATTTAATTGAAAATAAAAAAAAATTTTGATCCATATGATATACACTCACACTCACCTGATTATTCAAAACGAACTATATAATTCGTTCTTAGTAAGGTTTTGGAAATTCTGTGGGAACTGTATGTATGCAACCTCACGACCTTTCCCTTCATCCATTAAGAAACAAAGTGCATCTCTTACGGCCTTGGAGTTGTTTGAATACATGTCGCAGTCTACATTAAGAATGACATTCCCATTGCTTTGCTAATGTTTGCAGATAATGATTCATTAATGAACAAACAATGAATATATATAAGTTGAAATTATTTGCAACATCAAACATGTAAATATCTTTTTTCTGAATACTTCAGCTAATGAAAAAAATGTTACCAAATAAAGTAAAATTACCAGAGCATTCATAGCACCGGCTTTGAAGTTATGGTGATACTGGGGTCTCTCCCATCAATTGCTATCTGAGAAAATAAAAAAATTTGATCAAACGCCAGTTAAATATTAGTGACCCTGACTTGCAGTTTATGGTAAACTATCATACTTGAAGAATGCTGTCATGGTCACGTCGAGATCCATGGCACCTTCTTCGGTGCACCTGGTGTACCGATACACCCACATTTTTAAGAAAAATGAAACCTGTTGTTCAAGTTGCCCGGTTCCCTCCCAGCTTTTCTTTAATATTTAATCTGTCTTTTTTTATGGGAAAGAAACTTTCTCATATTCAAATTTTTTTGGTCGAAGTATCTTATTCAAATTTTTAGATAAAGTAATCTTAACCCAACTAACCCAATCAAATTTTAACACATTGTCTTTTTTTTATTTTTTTTTTTTTTTTTTTTTTTTTTTGTTAAACTAACCAAACAATAATAACTACAAATTTGTTAGGTATAAAATAATTATTTTGATTATCTAGAAATTTAAAATAATAAAAGAACTTAAGACAAACAAATAGAATGCCACTGCAACCGTTAACAGTCCCATGGTGGTGTGGGTTTCCTTTTTATTTATCTATTTATTTTTTTCATTTTTTTAAAAAATTAATGTAATTCTGAAATTTTTAAAACAATTTTTTATAATGAACGAACTTGTAATTTTTTATTACTATAAGAAACACTTTTTTTGGGGGATAAAAGAAACATTGGTTGTAGACATATAAACAGGTCATATTTGAATAAGATATACCTCAATCAAAATCTGAATTCATTTAAAATTGAATTATCGAATTTGGATCATATTTGGATTATCGAATTGCAACTATCAATTCATATCAATTACACATCGGATTCATATCTGATTGGATTATTATCTGATTTATTTTATGATGTACAAAAAATCAAAATTTCATTAGTAGTCTCGTTCTTTTATTGTATTTATCTACTTTTTATATCAAATTTTGATATTTTATCCAAGAAAAATTAGTTTTAAGTGTATTATTAGTGCATATAAAACTAAAATTGCACATTTACACATACAAAATATTAATATAAATCCTAAAAAAAACTAAATTATAATTCATACTAAGTCAAATCGAATTATTATCGGATCAGATGAACTATAATCTATATCTCTATCCATTTATAATCTAATTATCGGATTCGAATTGTAATCAGATTATCAGATTAAGAAGTCCAATCCATCTCTTATTAATTACCTCAAATCCGAATTGGATTCAAATTGGGCGTTTGGCTGTACTCTTGACATATATACCAATGTTCTAAAAGTATAGTAGCGCAGCTATGCTAGTGGAATATTTTAAAAGTATAGCCGATTGGCTATACTTCACAAAATGGGGTTTACTTATAGCCTTTTTTTAATTACTTTAGTTGGTAATTATATTTTAGTTATTATTTCTTTAGTGAATAATTAGTATTTAACTAATTTCATAAATTACTTAATAAATAGTCATAAATTATTTTTATTTATTTTGTGGACTTTGTTTTTTATTTTATTTTAGACAAAATTAGTTTGTTTAGTTTAATATTTGCAATTAAGTAATATCTTAGCCTTATTTAATTATATTATTTATTTAATGAATAATTAGTATTTAAAGTATTTTAATTAATTTCATAAATTACTTAATAAAGTCTGGATTTAATTTATTTTTTCAAATTTTTAAAGAGTAATGCTATTTAGACACACAACATTGACCACCTTAACTGACCACCTTATGTGGCAACTGATGTGTCATGCCACGTGGCGACATTCATTAATTGACATGACATGACACATCAGTTGCCACATAAGGTGGTCAATTAAGATGGTCAATGTTGTGTGTCTCAATAGCATTACTCTTTTTTTAAATTAAGAGTTTAACCTGAGAGCTAGACGATTTCTTTCTTCTGATACGAAATTTTATTATTTTTTCTAGCATTTTGACAATTTATTTCTTCTGATACGAAATTTTGATAATTTGGAAATTCCTAATCGTAATAAAATTTGCGGGAGTTTTTGGAGCAGCCGCCCTTAGCAAATTCGAAATTTACGTTTACCGGGCAGGGCTTTCATTTGAAAATGAGTATTTATTGCGTAATTCGCCGCCCGCCTGATTTGAAAGTCGAAGCGATTTCGTTTCCATTTTAGTCTTTAGTGAAGAAGAAAGAAACCAAGAGACAGAGGTAGCGACTTTCGACTGATACATCTGGTAAGTGGTAAATTAATTCCTCCTCCTTTTTTTTTTATTTTTTTTTTATCAATACAATGTCCTGAAACTTGAATTGAACAGATTTTCTTCCGTTCTGAAACTTGAATTCATCTGGTTTATTGACTTTATCCGTGCGGTCAAGCATGGTCATATATAAAGGAATTTCAAATTTAATCTAATTTTGTTATCCATGGATGCGAATTCATTTGTTAGATGGAAATTGGATAAAGGAATTTCCTATATATTGCAGTAGCTGGTTAGCTTCTCATGTACTAATGTCAATGTTGTGCTTGTGGTGGTGTTTTTCATTTTTATTTTCTTCTGCAGAAAAAAAGTGGAATTGTTTGGCGAAAAGGGTTGCAGAAGCATTGTAGTTTGGGTGTGGCTGAGACCTGAGAGCTGCTGAGTGTGATTACAACTTGCCATGCCAATGGTACTTCAGAGCACTATCCCATTCCCGGATTCAGTTGAAATGGGTAAAAACCACCTTTGCATTTCTGTACTTCAAAGTTATGGGATCAAAATTGTTTCCCTTCACAAACCTTGTTCAGCTCAAGTTTTGGGAACTGATAGTCTTGGTGGAGATATCCAGTCGTGTAAGCTGTGTGGTCATTCAGAAAATATAGCCAATATGCTACTTTGCGATCGTTGCGAAGAGGCGTTTCATGTATCTTGCTGCAAACCCAGGGTGGTTTTGCCAATTGACGAGTGGTTTTGTCCTTCTTGTTTGAAAATGTCACAGAATAATTCTTTCATTAAATCACCTAGCATCGGTTCGGGGATTGGCTCGTGTAAATTTGAATTGGGTCCAATTGCAGTCATGCTAAAGTACCCAGAGCCATATACGTCTAAGGTTCGGCTCGGTGAAGCATTTCAAGCTCAAGTTCCCGAATGGTGTGATCAAATTAATGTGTATGTCTTTATTCAATTTGGTTTTTTTATATACAAACTTCTGATTTTGAAGAAGTCACTAAGTAAGTTTATCCAGACATTATGACACTCTGAATTTTGAATGATAGATCCACCATCTGAAGTCCTAACTCATGACTGGGATAGTTCATCTGTTGTTGTAGCTTGTAACTAGTTCTAATGTTACAGGGCTCCATTGTCTGAAGTCCAAACTGATGACCCGGATTGTTCTTCTCATTCCGATTGTGCTGATCCTCGGGTAAGATAATCTTGCATGCTTGCATACTTTCTCTATCAAAGAATTGCCCTAAACCGTTACTTTGTTACTCCAGTAATTGCACTTGATAAGTACATCTTTCATGTCAATGGAATAAGATGCCAGGATAATATAGGTCAAACCAGAACATTCAAAATCGTTGTATAGTTTCATTTTTTTCTAAATGGGAGTTGAGCCAAACGAAGATGGTTTATTAGCAATCAGGAAATCATAAAGCAATAGCTTGGTTGCCTTGTTTGGTTTGAACAAGACAGATATATACTCTAGATGATCTTGCATCTTCAAGTAGTGACTTGGAATTTTACCTGGTTTTAATCACATCAAATCAAATGCATACGTTTTACTTTGTTTCTGTGGATACAAAGCTCAGGCAATTGTGGCTCGTACCGTTGCTTATTTATTTTGTACTTGGCTTGCCTTGTTTCCATTGATGTGCATGTGCAGATGCGATCATCCGGCACTGGCATTGCCTGTAGAAAGAGAAAACAAGAGTTCTCATCATGAATGGTGGCAAACCCCTAAAATAATTTCAAGTGAGTCATGTATGCATAAATATTTCATTCCTGCGAATTCTTTCATTTAGATAGTTTCTCATGTGTGCAAATTTTCCCTTGTTTGTCCAGTTCTGACACGCTCTCTTATCTTATACCGATCAGTCAGACCGATAACTTAAGCAGAAAGGAATATTGACACCCTTGGTTTTGTTGCAAACTACCAACTGGTAAGTAAGTAATTTTGGGATCACAAGTGAAAACCTTTTGCATCTGAGTTTTGTGGCTGGCTAGCTAGTTGGTACGGTAGGGCCCTTAACCTTTACGACGGGGGACAGTGGCTTCATCGTCTCTTTTTCAATTATTTCATTGGTGGTTGTGGGCTGGGTCATAATTTTGTGTGTGATATTTGTAAGTTTGATGATGTGAGTGAATGCGTGAGTGGTTGGACTTGACGCCACTAAAACTGCCTGCTCATCATGTTACAAAGCACAACTGTGGGTCAAAGGGGTCATCCTTGTAAGGTCCACAGCCGCAAACAATTCATCTTGAAAACATAGACGTAGAGAATTGCGTGTGCAGCGTGCTCAGGACAGGAGGAGGAGGAGGCAACCGCATCTTCGCGTCCAGCAGTCAGTCAACTTTGTTTCTTGCTTGCTTGCTTGCGTTGCTTGCTTGATTTATTAATTATAGTTGCTTTCAAGCGAGCCAAAACCATTTTGGTACAAGACGATTGGCAGGCTAACAACAGGCTATCCGATCCCATCCAATCCCATCTTTATCTGGGGGATGGGGATGGGGTCCATAATCCATTCATTGCTTCCGTTTTGTTGTATTGAACGATAAACTTTTCCGTTTTCAAACATTTTGCAAAACTCAAAGATGAATCAGATTTCAAGTATTCAACTTTGTTATTCACCAGCAGGCAGCTTCCATTCCAATCATGTTATCTACTGATCGTTAGACTGGTTATTCTACATCTATCAAGGGTTGCAAATAACATCAAACCTAATAAACACAAAGTATATAACAAGGTTTAGTCTTGCTACAAAATTGTAATTGGGGTTGAACTGAAAGGTGAGAGGAAACTCTCATCAGCGGTCCCCCTAAGCAAAGGCCTGAAGCCACATGGGCTTCACTCTCGTCATCGTGGGGAGAGAGTGTGACTGACGGGTGGTGATGCCTAAATAAAAAAGAATTAGCCAATGAATTAAGTGCACGTGTTCCAAAAGACGTTCTGCCGACAGAGAGGTGGACCAAAAACAAAACAAGTGAAAATTATTATGTTTGGGTAAATTGGGCAACTTGGCTATCCAATTTCAGTACGCGTCCTTGTTCTGCTCTGCGACTACGTGTGAGCTGCTTAGCATTTGAATTTTCCTAAACTACCCTGCCTCATTTATGTTATTCTTTTCCTTGCCTGGGCTTTGTATAAAGTTTGCGATAAGACCAACCAGAAAGTAAAGCAAAGCAAAGAAAGCAAAGAGAGCATATATTCAGACAAGGAGCATCAAATTCTCTCAGTTGCTCAGTCGAGGCTCTGAGAAAGAGAAAGGAAGATGGTGATCTCAACGACGAGCAGTGAGCGTGGAGGGCAGGTGAACTCTACGTTTGCATCGAGATATGTGCGTAACGCCCTCCCTAAGTTCGAGATGCCGGAGACGTCGATACCCAAGGACGCAGCGTATCAGATAATAAAGGATGAGCTAATGCTGGATGGGAACCCCAGGCTCAACTTGGCATCATTTGTCACCACGTGGATGGAGCCAGAGTGCGATCAGCTCATCATGGCCTCCCTCAACAAAAACTACGTCGACATGGATGAGTACCCTGTTACCACTGAACTCCAGGTCTGCTCTGCTTTCATCATCTTCCTCCATCCATATCATTTTTATTATTTTATTATTTTATTATTTTAATTAATTAAAATCTACTTTACAATACTGTTAAGTTACTCTACCAGCTAGTAGCTACACACACTCCATCAAGATCTAAGAAGTCAACAGCGTTGCGTTGCGTGTCGTATATTCATTCATTCAAGAGTCCGTGCCATTTACTCATGTGGGTCCCAAATTTATTTATATAATATATATTGTCAGGAACTTGGCTAGCTGGGCATCCATACGGTGCCCAAATGTCCAATTTTTTAAGGAATTACCTTATCCGAGGATTCAATAATGCATGGAATGGACTCGACTGGCTTCGTGGCCTCAAATTGTAACATCAGACCTAAAACCTCATCTGCAAGAATAAATACAGTAAACCATGAAATTACAACCCTTGCCCTCAAGATAAATGCGGTTAAGCACAAAGTTACAAGCCAGCATTTCCTCTTTTTGGTTTCCAACGCCACATGCTATTTATTGCGTTCTAGATATGGATCATAGCAGAGGAGAGGAGAGGGGCGGAGCATTGGGTGTAGCACGGGCCAAAAATTACGGGCACACAACTACACTACATACACATACGAGAAACACAAATATACAAGGACTTGAATACATGTATATAATGTGTATAATACAAATAAGGTTTTACTCTACAAGGTTATTCAGTTCCCAAGTTTGGGAGAATTGTAGGTTATGTTTGCGTAATTTGCTTTTAATTATTTTGGTAACACATAGCAAATTTTTGGTTACTAGTTGCAAGTTGGGAAAAGATTTGGTGCTTGAAAGAAACTATAGTCCCAGCTCTGTTTGAAATTTCTTGTTAATCTTGTGATCAAGTTTAATTTTTCTAATTTCCTGTCGATTATTACAGTTTTTTACTTTCTTTTTTTTTCCTTCGTGTAGAATCGTTGTGTGAATATAATAGCAAACCTTTTTAATGCTCCCCTCGGAGACGGCGAAACTGCTGTTGGAGTGGGAACTGTTGGTTCTTCAGAGGCAATGATGTTGGCAGGCCTAGCTTTTAAACGAAAGTGGCAGCAAAAGAGAAAAGCAGAGGGCAAGCCTTACGACAAGCCCAACATGGTCACCGGAGCCAATGTGCAGGTCAGAATTCTCTCTCTCTCTCTCTCTCTCTCTCTCTCTCTCTCTCTCTCTCTCTCTCTCTCTATATATATATATACATATATATATATAGATGTTGATTGATGACACGCACAATTCATAAGTGTATGTCATGACCAATGTCTAGACTTATTCTATGTTGATGCATGCATAATAAATATTTCTTGATCATGCATAATATGCTGTGTAGGTTTGCTGGGAAAAGTTTGCGAGGTATTTTGAGGTTGATCTCAAGGAGGTGAAGCTGTCAGAGGGATACTATGTAATGGACCCTGTGAAAGCAGTTGAGATGGTGGATGAGAACACTATCTGTGTTGCAGCTATTCTAGGATCAACCCTCACGGGAGAGTTTGAAGATGTGAAGCTCCTCAATGACCTCCTTACTCAAAAGAACAAAGAGAAGGGCTGGGATACTCCCATTCATGTTGACGCTGCGAGCGGAGGCTTTATAGCTCCATTTCTTTATCCTGATCTTGTGTGGGATTTCCGTTTGCCCTTAGTCAAGAGTATCAATGTAAGTGGCCACAAATATGGCCTTGTATATGCTGGTGTTGGCTGGGTTGTATGGAGGAGCAAAGAGGACTTGCCGGACGAGCTTGTCTTTCACATTAATTACCTTGGATCTGACCAGCCCACTTTCACCCTTAACTTTTCTAAAGGTATTGAATTTTATTTTACATTACTTATGGAGCCATGATCTATCAATATATATACTCTATGCATACGTGGTGAAAAAAGCATGGTTTAGTTATTCCTAATTGGCTTCAAATCATAATTCTTCCATCATATATATGTTGTATGGCAGGTTCTAGCCAAATAATTGCTCAGTATTATCAGTTTATTCGACTGGGTTTTGAGGTAACTTTTGCTATCATTTCATTTCATTTAATTTCATGTATAGAAACCTAGTTATCGGTTTGATTTGAGGCAGTTAATGATGTTTCATTGTCTTCTTTTTCCGTGTTGTTTGCATAAAGGGTTTCAAAAATGTCATGGAAAACTGCATGGAGAACACAAGATTTCTGAGAGAAGGATTAGAGAAAACAGGGCGGTTTGAGATTGTCTCCAAAGACATAGGAGTGCCCCTTGTGGCCTTTTCTCTAAAAGACAGCAGCAAGCACACCGTGTTCGAGATATCTGAGAGTTTGAGAAAGTTTGGGTGGATAGTTCCAGCCTATACGATGCCAGCCAATGCAGAACATATTGCTGTTCTGCGAGTGGTTGTTAGGGAGGATTTTAGCCGGGGCTTGGCTGAGAGGCTTATCTCGGACATTATCAAAGTTGTGAAGGAAACAGACACACTCCCAAGCCGCATCTCTACGAAAACCGCCCATGTCACAGCTACTGTTGATGAAGTGGTCTGTAGCAGTGAGGGGACGGTGAAGCCTGTTAAGAAGAGTGTAGAAGAGATTGAACAAGAGATTACAAGGCGTTGGAAGGGGATTGTGGATCGCAAGAAAAGAGGCGTATGCTAATTGAGCTTGGCTTCCAGTTGTTATTACTTAAGCAAGCATGCTTAATTCATGATATTAATTAATTACGTCTGCTTGATGTCTGTAATAAGGACTAAAAAGCCATATATTTCTTATGCATATGTAGTATCATTGAGATGTTTCTCTCTGCTTATGATCAGCGGATTTTAATTACTTTTTAAGTAAAGATAAATCTTTTCAGTGCATGTTTCTCTGCTCAACATAATAAGTTCCAAATTAAGTGATTATAACCAAGTCTTTTAGCACCCATGCACTTGTTCAGGCCAAATTTTAAGATTTTTATCTCAAGTGCTCTACCTCTAATCCTTCTTAAACCTACTCTAACTAAACTGTCGATCGTTGATCTGGATGTTGTTCCAACTTCCATGGAAGAAAGCCGGGCCTGCTCCGACCTGTTGATGAAATGCCTTCACTTGGTCCTTGTGGGCTTAAAAATACATTTGTTAATATTGGGCTCCCAGTCCAAAATGCCCAGGCCCCACTTCGAGCGTTCACTCTCTCTCTCTCTCTCTCTCTCATTCTCTTCTTTATTTTGGTTTCCCCTTTTCTCGACTCTGAGTCTGAGTGACTCTCTGTTTCTCTGCAAATCTTTCCCTCTCCTCTCCCTCTCTCTCAAAAACTGGTATTGGGTCTTTGTGTTTATCATTTTCCAACTTACTCAGTACGCGGAGTCTCATCCAGCGTGTAAGGGGAACAAGTCGCAGAGTTGTCATCGTGCCTGGTAATCCTTATCCTCTCCCTTTCATTTTCTCAAATGGGTCTTTTAGATTAGAAAACCATTTCTACCATTGAACAAAATGCTGAACCAGTATCTCAAAACTTCAATTGCTTCGACGCGAGGCCTATTTTTCATCAATTTATTCCCTTTCAAGAATCATTCCGTATCTCTCTGCTGCTCTAATGCTAGTATCTTTGGATGTATGCGATCCCCAATTGAACCCATATCTCATGTTCGAACTTATATGCTCTCTGCATCTTCTTCTTATCTCCTGGTGCCATTTCTAGGCACCCCTTGTTTGAATTTGGTCAAATTATCGCAGCCCCTGAATGCGCTCGCTGCGTTTAGGGTCTCTGTGCGTCATTTTTGTTCGGAGATTGTTACAGTGGATCAAAGTTTTGACTGTGATGGGAGGAGTGGTATTGAGGACGAATCATTAGAAGGTGATGTAGATAAGTTTTGGGAGGCCATTACGGATAACTCTAACGCATATTGTAATATGGAGAAAGCTCTTGATCAAGTTGGTCTACCATTGACTACTCCGTTGGTTGTTGGGGTGCTTCATAGGCTTCGTTTTGAGGAGAAACTAGCATTTAGGTTCTTTATGTGGGCAGGCCGCCGAGAAAATTATGTTCATGAATCTCTGGCGTACAATGATATGATTGACATATTATCGTGCACGAGGTATAAAGTGAAGCAGTTTCGAATTGTTTGTGACTTACTGGATTATATGAAGAGGCACAACAAGAGTAAGGTTCCTGTTGAGGTTCTCTTAACAATTTTGAAGCAATACACGGAAAAGCATCTCACCTATCTGCAGAAATTCGCCAAGAAGAAGCGGATACGGGTGAAGACGCAGCCGGAAATCAATGCGTTGAACCTGCTATTGGATGCCCTGTGTAAGTGCAGTCTGGTTCAAGATGCTCAAGACATGTTACAGAGGGTGAAGAAAAAGGTTAAGCCTGATGCTAATACGTACAACATTTTGTTTTTTGGTTGGTGTAGAGTTAGGAATCCGACTCGAGGAATGAAGCTGCTGGAAGAGATGATCCAAATGGGACATGCACCTGATAATTTCACATACACTACTGCCATTGATGCCTTTTGCAAAGCAGGGATGGTGTCTGAGGCAGCTGAACTTTTTGAATTCATGCGAACCCGAGGTTCTACAATTTCTTCTCCCACTGCAAAAACTTATGCAATTATGATTGTGGCTCTTGTGCAGAATGATAGAATGGAGGAGTGCTTCAAACTTCTCGGACATATGATAAACAGTGGTTGCCTTCCTGATGTTTCTACATACAAGGAATTACTTGAAGGAATGTGTTTGGCTGGAAAGGTTGAGGAGGCTTACAAGTTTTTGCAAGAGATGGGAAACAAAGGTTACCCTCCTGACATCGTTACTTTTAACTGTTTTCTCAAGGTTCTTTGTGACAATAAAAATAGTGAGGAAGCACTTAAGCTTTATGGAAAAATGATAGACGTAGGTTGTATGCCTAGTGTGCAGACTTATAATATGCTGATTTCAATGTATTTTGAGATGGGTGATCCTGACGGGGCATTTGAGACTTGGCATGAGATGGATAAGAGGGGCTGTGCACAGGATACTGATACTTACTGCATGATGATTGAAGGGCTTTTTGGTTGCAATAAAGTGGAAGATGCGTGCTGCCTATTGGAAGACGTCGTAAACAAGGGAATGAAATTGCCATATAGCAAGTTTGACTCATTTCTGATGCAGCTTTCTGTGATTGGTGATCTCCAATCCATCCACAGGCTTTCAGGTCATATGAGACAGTTCTACAATCCTTCTATGGCAAGACGTTTTGCGTTGAACCAGAAGCGGAGGAGCATGAGTTTGAGAGGGAGCTAATAAAGTTTGTTCATACTGTTATGATGATTTCTTTCAAAGTGCCCCTATGGAATCAAAAAGGGAAAAGGAAGAAGAAGCTTGATGACATTAGCAAATTGAGAAGGGATCATCAAGATAAAATTTTGATGCTATACCAGGTGGTCAACTATGCCTCAGACTGGAGTGAATGCAGTTGGAAACTAACATGAAGAATTTGCTACTGACTTTATGACTGCAAATCCTAAATGTTATGTTGACTGCAGAGCTGTCGGATTTGAGACTGTTCTTGCAAAGGAGTGCGGAAGCAGGGTTTGGAGAGCTGCTAGTTGAACTTGAGGGTGATGCGGAGGTGTTGAATTGAATCCATGGACCATACGGCAGATGGATCATTGAGGTGATTACATACATACGGCAGAGTAGAATTGGTGCACATCATGTTCTAGTTAAGTAGAGGAGTTAGATTGTGATATTTTTGAGCGAGGGGGGGAACTTTTTTTTTCTTTCCTGTCTTTGTTTGAACTGTGGAACTGATTGAGAAATGTTTGTGGAGGATTTGAATAGTACTCAGTACAGCACCGTAGCAGTGTGTATTTTGCGTTGTAGCTCTTTTAGCCCTTGGGCTTACTAAATGTTGAGGGAGCTGTTTTGTATTGATTATCTCATTTTACTGTAAAAAAAAAGAAAAAGAAACTTGAAGCGATATTGTAATCGTTTTCCCATAAAGAAAATCTTCAAACGATTCCATTGACAAATCTCACAAGTTAGTTGTCCATGTTACCCAGATTTTAACAAAAGATATAGTAAAGGACAAAACAGAAGCAAAAAATTGTACATTTTAAATTCTAATTGTAAAAAATATTAAAAATTAAAAGAAAACTGTACTACTACAATATCTAAAAAAGGTAACTCCACTCCAGAGCCCGGACCCGGCGGCTCATGTGAAAAAAGACGGAAGTAGGAACATTTTCCCGCCAAAATTAACAAAATCCCAAAGGCCAAAAGCCTAGGTTTTAGCAAACGGAACACACAGAGAGAGATGAGCAGCTCCACGAGGAAGAAGGTGCAGAAGAAGTGCAAGATCAGAGGCTACACGCTTGAATTGGACGCCGTCGACGAGATCCTCTCCTTTGAATCCGAATTCAACAACGACTCTGCTTTGGCCGATCCCGTCGATCCTCGACCTCCTCGCAACCCAGCCCAGTAATTCCCCCCATTTCTTTCGTGTCTTATTATATGTTCACAAGTCAATCATTTTCATCTTGTTCTTCTTTTTTCCTTAAAGTAAAGCTTGTTTCTTTTTCTTCTTTTTCTTGGGATGGCAGTAAAAGACAAGGAGACGGTGCACCGTATTGCTACCCGTATATTGGGTGCTGATGCGACCATCAACGAAACCCCCGACGGCGATGGTGATGATGTTATAAGAGCCTCTGATTTGCTCATAATTGATGCCTTCAAGGTCCCAAAGTTCCGATATGATCCCATCAAGAAGGTTTTTTACAAGTATGTTTCAATTTTTGCCAACCAATTCTTAATTCTTTATAGTGAGTAGTATAAATTTATTGAAAATGCTTTTTTTTTTGGAGGAAATTTTTAGGCATACTGGGAGCTTACCCATTCATGGTGACGCATTTTCGAAAGCAGCTCTGTATAAGGATAGGTTTCTCTTGCTCTCCCAGATGCTCTCTGGCCATAAGGATTTTTCCAAACCAGCCTTTGATTCTGAATTGTCAGATTTCGGGCGCTGTGAGGTTGGTACTCACATTGTCTTTATTTGACGAAATCTAGTTGGGTTTATTTCCTAAATGCCAAAGTTCAATTAAATAAATTCCTGTATGATATGGTGGTCAGATATCTCCAATTCAGTCTCTGATTGGGCAAACTGGAAGGAGATGGGTGATGGGTCTGATATCTCAGTTGGAGGATGGCCATTTTTACTTGGAAGACCTTTCTGCTTCTGTCGAAATCAACTTATCCAATGCAATATCCTTTACACACCCTCATCATTTATAACTTCACACTTGACGCTTGACCTTTGGCCTGTTCTGTTTGCATCTAATACAGAGCGACTAACTGGTGTCTTATCATTTGATGAAATGCATTGATTCCTTGTCTTTATGATAATGGCTCATGGGTGTGGCAGGTTATGGCTATGCCTGAACTCATAAAAGCTGGAGTTGTGGTTCAGTCAAATCAAAAGCATGAAATCGTCATTTTTCTTGACAATATATACAAGATAACTGCAGGATTTTTTGTAGAGAACACAATAGTTGCAGAAGGCGAGATGCTCTTAGAGGGTGTCTTTCAGGTTAGCTAACGTTCTTTTATTCTCTTTACTCTTAAAAAGAAATTGCACATCCTTTTACTAGAATTTTGTTTAGAAATGCCAATATTTTATATCTTATAATTCTCACGGAAGAAAATTTTCCAAATTTTTTTAAGAACTACTTTTTCTTCTCCTAATATGAGGTTGGATCAATATATCATAAATTCATAATATGTTAATCCCTTTAGCTAATCCAGAGCAGATCAGTATATATAAAAAGTAAATCAAGTGAAGTTACTTGCCATGAGATTGTATCAAGCATCAGGTTCCTAACTTTGGATCAATGTGTATGTATGAGATGTAAACATTTAACTCATGAAGTTAACCTTTAAAGAGATGCGAACACTTACTTTTTGTGAAGGTGTTTAATTGCGGATTTCCTCCGCTTGAGGACAGAGATAAGTCACTCCAATTTCTTGCAGGACATGACTCTTTTGGTAGTGGTACACTAACAGAACAGGAGACTATCCTGAACTTTCTTTTTGGTGATATTCAAAATTGTCTAATTGTTCAACTTTATAGACTAGCCAATTATGAATGTATAGTTTCCTATACACTTCAAACAGCTCAGACTTACAAAGTTGGAAAGAGAATCAGTTAATGGGAATGTTGTCATACTGTCTGACATTTGGCTAGACAATGAAGAGGTTATTCTTCTTTCTCTTGTAAAAGATGGTTATAACTTCTTTTGTTTCTCAGAGTACTGTACTTGACATTAATTGATAGTTCTTTTCTTATTTGAGAAGGCTATGGAAAAGCTGGAGAGAGTCCTAGATGCTTTTGAGAATGAGGACTTTGTACTGTGCTTATTTGTACTCATAGGGAATTTTTGTTCTCATCCATGTAATCTTGGTTTCCACTCCTTCTCCAATCTCAGGTGAGGAATATTTTGATAAGATTTATTTTGTTGGCTGAAAACAGTCTTTTCTTTCTTACATAAGTAACAGTAATAGTGAACAAACTAGATGCACAGGTCGCAGTTTGGCAAGCTAGGGCAAATGATTGCTGCCCATCTACGGCTAAAAGAGGGTAGTTGTTTTCTATTTATCCCAGGCCCCGATGATGCAGGTATATCACACTTGCTTTAACATGCTTCTCCAAAGAAAGAACATGTTTCTTCAAAAATGGGCCTATAGTCCGGGTATATCACACTTGCTTTAGTACTCTCTGCTTTTTGACAATTTCAGGCCCTTCAACTGTTCTACCGAGGCCTTCTTTACCAAAATATTTAAGAGAAGAGCTTCAAAATCACATTCCAAATGCCATTTCAAGTAATCCTTGTAGGTATGTTTTTCTGATCACTGATGAGTTGATGTATAAATGATGAGATAAGTATTTTATTGCAGATAACTGCACACTCTTTGGTATTTAGATTCACATTTTATGAATTCTAAGACAAAAGAGCTTACTTCTCACCTGGCACATTGGGATTCATGAGTACAAAGTGTCTTATGTGCTTGTAGTTTCAGTTGGCTTGCTGATCAATGACTTGCCGATCAATGACTTGCCATACTTGAATGCAGAATGAAATTCTGTAGCCAGGAGCTGGTATTTTTCCGTCAGGATCTGCTGTACAGAATGCGCCCTTCTTCAGAAGAAACTACTGATGACTTTGAGCATGTGATCTCTCTCTCTCTCTCTCTCTCTCTCTCTCTCTCTATATATATATATATATATATATAATATACATGTACATATATTCTTAATATCTTGTTAACTGATGTGCATAATTACTAAGAAAAGTAACAGGTTCTCATTTTTTTGTCACAGTTGGTTGCCACCATAACCCATCAATGTCATCTCTGCCCTCTTTCTCTTATTGTACAACCGATTATCTGGAATTATGATCACTCCCTGTACCTCAATCCAACTCCACATACGGTAATACTGATATCCATTTCTTGTCCATTTCAACCCCCTTCTCCCCTGGAGTTCCTACATAATGAGTGGTGTTTTGCAAAGCGATTCCTATTTACTAAAACTGAAACTTTAGAAGACACTTGGACCGTCATAAATCATTAAGTCATTAATAAGTCTTGACAGACCTTTGATGTTCATGTGCAGATAGTTTTAGGTGACAGAAGCGAGCAAAAGGCTTTCAAATACACAGGAATCACTTGTTTTAATCCTGGTTCCTTCTCAAGTGATGGCGCCTTTGTGGTATACCGTCCTGACAATCAGGAAGTTGAATTATCATCCTTATAGTCAGAATCATCGATTGATGGACAAAATTAATTTGTTTTGTTTGTAGTGAATGGCTGTTGTCAATTTGTTCGAATTTGATATAATGATAATGGAATGAGCAGTATTGAGTAATTGCAAGAACCTTCCAATTTAGCATTAGCATTAGCATTAGCATTAGCATTAGCATCATGATGTTTTGACTGGAACATCAAAATCAGAGATAACAAGCAAGGAGGATTGTGATATTCCTTAGTCTATACGCAGACTATATTATATAATAGTTAAATTTACAAGCTTTGTGGAAATACAGCGTGGCAAAGAAATAAATATTTCAAACACCTAACCTAACTTGAAAATTTAGATGCTGCTGTAGCCTGTAATGAAACCTTGAGTAGCGCTGAAGATTCTTAGTGGTAATATTTCTCTATTAAAAGATTTCATATTATGACACGAGGAGGATTATCAACAGCTACCTGAGCTAGCTCGCTCTCTCTCTCTCTCTCTCTCTCTCTCTCTCTCTCTCTCTCTCTCTCTCTCTCTCTCTCCGTTATTAGTTAATTGTTTACTTTTTTACTTTTTGGGTCCATTCATTAGTAAGTAAAATATGAACATGAAAAAAAGGTCAGAATCATCTTCTTGGACTCTTGTGAACTTATTGCGTCAATCAACACTTTAGCCGAAAGAAATGGGTGAATCTCAGTGCATTTGTTCATTGTGCTATAATTGATATTTGATTTCCTTTACTTACACAATAAAAGGAGGGGGGTATGGCTAAAGTTTTCTTCAGCTCCATGTATCAACTGGTTGCAATAACTCACACGGGTCTTTAGAATTTAGATAGATACATCACCGTCGAATATCCCCTTTCTTCTTCTTCTTTTTTCTTTTTCTTTTTCTTTTTTTTTGAAGACGGCCGGTTAATCGATACTCCTGGTGCTTGCTATATATGTACACATGCAGTGAGAGATAGTTGGACATCCCACAAATAAAGTGAAGTTAGTTAATCGTATAGTTTATTAGACAGTTAACCCAAAAAAATGAAGTTTGTTAGTTTGATCCAAACATTGATGAAATGAATGCGGCCAGGGTTTTGATTAGAAAATGTAAAGGTGTTATATAACATCAAGGTTAGTAGTACAAGTATCCATTTTAAAGGAATGTACATATCCTAGCTAGCTAAACAACGACATGCGTTTACATATATCCCTGTCCTCTACCTAATACCCTCTCTCTCTCTCTCTCTCTCTCTCTCTCTCTCTAACTTATAAAAGTGAGTTGCACTCAAGGAAAGGAAGCATACATCTTCCTTTTATTTCCACAAATATATATATATATATATCTCTCTCTCTCTCTCTATATATATATATATATATATATCTTGAATTGGGTTGTGATCGATCAGCCTGATATGAACATAAGACCCTACTTAATTGTATTTCTTATTAATTTATTAAAGAGTCAAGAAGTAGAGTTGAAAGAAAGATGATCGCCGCTGACCTTGACATTTGTAGAACAATGCGCAATAATGAAAAATAACTGAAAATATTAAAACAGGTACGAAAAGAGAGCTATAATTAGCTAAACCAGAGTTAAGAGATATATGGTTTGGTAGGTAGGTGTACTCTTCATCGATATCATCAGTTGAGCTCGATCAAGACACAAAAGTAATCCCTTGGAATTAATATTAATGGTTCATAAGTTGGCTTTCGGCAGTTTTACAGTTGGGAAGTTTATGTTACTTCTGGACCCAGAAACCCTTTTGTCTCATATCATTTGGTTAGGTGAGTCTCAAATCCGTACTTCATATACAGGATGAATTAAGGGGACTAATTAACGGCCTAATTCAGAATTTGGCTAAACTTAAAGCGGAAACGGGCTTTGACAAGACAGACAGACAGATATAATTAACCACAAACAAGACAAGACAATGCTAGCTATTATTATTATTATATATATATATGCTACCAGCTACCAACCATATATCAATATATATATATTATATATGGTAAGGTGGACAAGACCCATTTAAGATCTGTGTCCGTTAAATGTTCATCACAACATTAATATTCCATCCAAATGGAATTTATGAGTCCTCATAATTACAATGAGAAGACTGAAAATTTTATCATTCTGACCAGCCAGCTAGCTAGTAATTAACGGTTCCATATGGATGATCAAGATACGGAGGGAGACGTTTTCTTCTTGGTGATCAAGACAATAATTAGGAAGGGATTAACATTAATATTCATCAGATAATTTGGTCTTGTACATATATATATATATCTACTGAATCCAGTGATAAAATTTGTGGTTACAAGCAAGAAACCGATGTGGCTCATGATTTTTATGTTAAACTCTTGCTAACGTGCAAAGTGGAAAAGAGGTAGAAGTTCCGGTAGCAGCAAATGAAAAAACTCTTGGGATCAGGTTTAATATGATTGCTGACTGCCATAAGAAAAGTAGGTGAAACTGGTGAACAGTCGTGAAGAACTCCACCATTGATGAATTTGATTGAAGCAGTTTGGATTTTTCAGTCATAATATATATATATTATAGGTTTGTATGCAAATGACTTGTATTATAATTTCACAGATTTGGGGTTGGGGAGGAAGGCTCTACCTAGCTAGGATCCTCAATATTCATCATGAACCATAAATTAATTAGGCTAATGTAATGTTGTGAGTGAGCAGGCAAGAATTCTTTGCAGCAGATATATATACCACAGTCAATATATCTTTATGAATATTTCAATGAGAGAGAGAGAGAGAGAGAGAGAGAGAGAGAGAGAGAGAGAGAGAGAGATAGGTGGCTGATGAAGAAAACAGTTGAGGTATTACTTTGTGACAGTTACCAATGTCATGCGCAGTGTAAGACATAGGGTGGGTGAAGACAAGATGGGAGATGTGTTTCCTGCTCTCACGTTTTTTACAAGCAATTTTAGATCTCCTACTTGAGAGAATGGTAGGCCAACGGTCAAAAGAAAGGCTGCTGTCCTTATTAGTTAATATCACCAAAATTAGTTTCCTTAATTCTGTGCTGTTCGGATGTTAATTAGGCCATACCAACCTGCATCTAAATAAATAAATAAAATTATTTTTATTTTATTTTAATTTTTTGGGTTGTAAGTTGGGGGGTATGCTCATACTTTAATATTGATGGCTAAATAGGAGAGAGGTGTCTTTCTACATATAGCTCATGCTCAGTCATATTGTTCATGACCTATTAATTTCATTAAAAAATTTATTTTCTATATAGTAACAATCAATTATAACATGCATGGATTCAAACAGGTCGCGAGTATGACACAGATCTAGGGTTAACTTTATAACATTCAAAGGTTAAAATCTGAATCATATTTTATTTATCCAGAGCAAAGTGAATCATCTTTAAACTAGAAAGAAAATAAACTGGAGAACATATATATATATATATATATATGCATGTTTGCTTGGGAGATGAACAAAGAGAAAGAGGTGATGAGGCAAAAATTAATTAAGGGCTATAGCTTGTAGTTTTGGCATATAATTATTTATATATACTTCACAGCTTCCTACGTACGCACACAGCTACAGCTACAGGGCCAGAGATGAAGTTTGAGTTAGTTTGACTAAAAAATAAAAAGTTATTATTATCCAATAATATAAAGGATGTCTGTCCGAGTCTCCACGTGCAGTTAGTTGTGAGGTTGTACACTAAATTTGTTAGTTAGGTCTGAAAGGTGATCAAAACCTAATTAAACTACCATCCCATTCGTACACCACTACAAATACCAAACCCACCACTTTTTCTTCTCTAGTTATTAATTGTTAAGAAAATTTGTGTTATTTGTATTATTGCATCAAATTTCCTCAATTCATACATTACATTAACTGCATTTATATAATAAGCGCTAAATTTACATTTTTTTAAAAAGAACCTCGCCCATACGAGGGAAACTTTATTAATCACCCAAATGAGAAGAGCCATGAACACCACGTTTAGATATATACGTTGAACTCTATATATAAAGTTATTTAATCTTTGTCTTAATTAAGAGAAGGTTCAATTATTTGAATTAGGGCTAGTTGTATGGGTACGTAATCAGTTATATGTAATGATGAAGCATATTTATGTTAATGTTTTCATTGCTTAATTAATTACTTTGAGTTTATATACACATATATATATATATACACGTACACGTAGAGGAATTAATTAATAAAAAGAAAAAGAGTAAGATGGCTAGGTGGGTTATAAGTAGACGTTGTAGGTTAGAAACTTGGAAAGACGTTGAAAGAGGAACCATATTTCACCCCACCAAGCAACCCATCTCTCTCTCTCTCTCTCTCTCATGTAATATATACATAATATAGAATAAAATATAAATTGATGGGATGATGATGATATAATTGTGGTTTTTTGTTAGCCAAGACGTTGCATCAATCGCAGGTGTAAGGTCTGTCCAAACCCTCCCACTCTCTAACGGAAAATACTTTCCATATCTCTCTCTCTCTCTCTCTCTCTCTCTCTCTCTCTCTCCCTCTCCCTCTCCCTCTCCCTTATATAATTAATCGATCAAGCTCATGGGGATATCTGTATATCTATCCATCTCTCCTGGAGTAGCTTAATTCTAATTGTCTTGATTGCTTTACTGCCTTGCCCCCACGCTCGTCTTCATCGTTGCAGTTGGCGCTTTATACAATATATAATAGACTAGCTACTACGAAGCTAGCTAGCTCCTATATATTAATCGCCATCGATTCATTGATGATCAGGAAGAAGAAGAGCACTGTACTTGTTATTAAGGAAACAGAGGGGCCGGCCATCGACGATCCAACAGTAGTGCGTAGTGAATTAGATAGGTAGCTAGCTAGGCAGAGAGGCTTAATTTTAACTCCTATTTATTTGATTGTGATCTTCTTGTGTTATTTTAATCAATACACACAATTGATCGAGGATCGAATATACACACATACATACATACATAAGATGTGCACTAGAGGCCACTGGAGGCCAGCTGAAGACGAGAAGCTTAGGGAGTTGGTGGAACGTTATGGACCTCATAACTGGAACGCAATTGCAGAAAAGCTCCAAGGAAGATCAGGTTTTTTCTTTTTCCGATTGATGTGTTTGCATTTGTTATAATTGTTGGCAACTGCTAGCTATCTAGTTTGGGTTTGGTATATATAATGAACAAGCTAATTAATTAATTAATCTATATATAGTTAAGAACCCCCAAATCATTCTGCAGCTAGCTAGGGCAAAAACTATGTATGTAATTGATTAATTAACAACTTATTCAACTAATTAAGAGAGAGAGAGAGAGAGAGAGAGAGAGAGAGAGAGAGAGAGGAGAGGAGAGAGAGAGAGAGAGAGGAGAGAGAGAGAGAGAGTGGTTAATTGTAATGAATTAATTATAATGAATTGAATGATATTTGCGCGCAGGAAAGAGCTGTAGGTTGAGATGGTTCAATCAGTTGGACCCAAGAATCAACAGGAACCCTTTCACAGAAGAGGAAGAAGAGCGTCTCCTAGCCTCTCACCGTATCCATGGGAATAGATGGGCTATTATTGCAAGGCTTTTCCCGGGACGCACTGATAACGCAGTGAAGAACCATTGGCATGTCATCATGGCACGCAGATGCAGAGAAAGATCTAGGCTTCACGCCAAATTAATAAGGACTTCTTCTACTACTAGTACTGCAGTGCCTCAATCGTCATTAACGACGTCCAATATTAACATCGATATTCCAAAATCCTCTTCAAAACAAGATCACCTGCAAATCAACTGTGATATCACGAGGAACCTTGATGCATATAATTATTTTGGGAAATTCTATCCAGCTTTCACTCATAACCCTCCTCCTCCTCCTCCATTTCCAAGAGAGTTCTATTATCCAAGTACCTGTATCACAATGCACCAAGGTGAATATTACCACTCCAATTGTGCCATGCATATCCCTATTATAAGCCATATATATATTAATGATATTCTCATGCATGGTTCCTAATTATATATATCTTTATATGCTGCAGATCATAAAGATCAGCCAATTGAGTTTTATGATTTTCTCCAAGTAAATACTGAGTCGAATGGAAGTGAAGTGATAGATAATGCAAGAAAGGATGAGGAGGAGGTTGATCAGGAAGCTGTGGGACAACAGATAAGCAAGGCAGCTGGTGCTCCTTTTATAGAGTTCTTGTCTGTTAATGGAAGTTCTTAATTATATTTATATTACTGGTAGTAATATTTGGTGTCTTGATATGAAGATGATCAATGACATCTTAGCGAACGTGTAAAACTATCATTAATCACATATAAAAACCCTAACTAGAACTAGTTCTTACCAATTAGATGCATGCTTGTCAAGTACTGCATCGATATGCACAGAAAATCATGTTTAAAGAGGGATGATCTGTAGCATATAGAAAGGAAGAAGTTGTAGCGCAAATATTGTTAATGTAATATATGAAGGACTGTGCGTACGTACGTGTACGTTAGAGCTTGTGTATATGCATCTCCTGACATTTTGTATACCCTAGTTTTGACTCTGTGTGAAATGTGTGTGAGTGTGGAGTTATAGTGGCTGTGCGTGACAAATGAAGGATATATATATATATATATGTCTTTTATTTTTCTCTTCTGGTTCTTCTAGTATATATACTGTCGACGGCTGCCTGCGGAAATTGTCTCTTCAATTCGTTTCCTAGATGCTAGATCTCACATCTCAATGCTTGGGTTGGTGAGGACTATCTAATCATATAAAATATATGTAAAAGTACAAATATGTGAACAAAGAACAACAAAAATTCTGACTGTCATGACCGTGTTTGCCTTGGGGCCTAGGCTGTGCAACATGAATGATATTCATGGCAATGCAGCAAGCATGTAGCATATAGTTAACTAGCGGCTGGGTTTGACAAACATTGTACGGCTTGTACCTACCCAATATTCAATTATGTTTTCAATTTTTAAGAACATATATGTTGCCTGCCTGCCTGTTGTTGATCATGATTATTGGATTAATTAGCATAAGAAAAATGATTATCGGGCTGCCGGACACTGCCGGATAAGAAAAGATGACAGCAAGTTAAAATAAAAAAATTCAGACGTGACAGCAAGTTTAATTGACTTAGTACATTCATAAGTTCTTCCGGCCTAGGTTTTGCTTTATTTTATCTTAGTTTTATTCCATTTATTTTAATTATTAATTTGGTGTGTTCCGCGCTTTGAGGACAGACACTCTCCCAAATTCCGAATGCTAATAATTTAATAAATGGTCAACTCAAGACATAAGACATAAACGTTAGGGAAGTCAAAGTTGATAATCCCATCCCGCCACCCACCCCCGGCTCTATACGATCAATTCAATTGCAAAGGCAAGGCCTCTCTCTAGATCTATATATTGATCATCTTAAGTAACAATAAATATATAGTTGGCAACTTTAATGGCTAACCTTGTTCTAATACTTGTGAATCTGATAGCTCTGCCAGCATTACTAGTGTTTGTCGTCATAATAAATCCCTCCTCCCATGCCGATGCAGTGTTCGTGAGCATCGACTGTGGCTTTACAGGTTCCTCTACTTACAAAGATGAAAACTCAATAGTATGGACCGGGGACGAAGCTTACATTCATAGTAAGCATGAGTCTCAAGTGTTCAATGAGTACTATAGCAGCAACACGCCAGTTGATTGGACCAGCACTGTAAGAGTGTTCCCAACTTTGAAGAAAAACTGTTACACCATCCCAATTGGCAAATCTGGGGAGAGACTTCTTGTTCGAGCAAGTTTCCGTTATTGGGATTTTTACGATAACCCTAATTATTCTGCTACTTCTCCGGGCCCGACCTTTGAGCTCCAGTTCGACGGCAACTATTGGACCACGGTTGTCACCAAACCCTATGACATCGTTTCTCATGAGGCCATCTATGTTGCCAAGGCAAATACAACGAGCATATGCGTTGCTCAAACTAAAGATAATCAGCTGCCCTTCATATCCGCACTCGAATTGCGGAGCTTGGATTTCAAAATGTACAGCCATGTTGATTCCAATTACGCTCTGCTATTGGCAAATAGGCATACTGATGGTACAAACCAAACTGTTAGGTACGCTGCTATATATCTGTTTCTTCTTATTAATTACATGTGTTGTTGTATATATACTATGCATTAATGGATATCGTATGAATATGCCTTAATGAATTAGGTATCCAGATGATGCATATGATCGAATTTGGGTTCCGGCAAATGGTTTTATAGTTACTGAGAATGTGAAAGGGGAAGCAAGGAGCATTGATACTAGTAGTGCACAAGATAATCCTCCAGAAGCTGTGTTGCAAAATGCAGTGGAAACCATAGGCACTCTTTGGTCCTTGGTTCTGGACACCAGCGGACTTCCACAATCACAAGATCAAAAAGTGCGCATCTACATGACCACCTACTTCTCTGAAGTCATTCGGCCGCTCAATTCATCCACTGGCAAAAGATCCTTACAAGTATTGGTAGACGGCAACCCGTATTCGGGCACCATCGTCCCTCCTTTTGGAAGCGTATCCACTGTCTACATTACCAACATCACAGCTTATTCCGACACTAATTTCACTATTGAGTCAACTTTTCAATCCAAGCTTCCTCCTCTCATCAATGCCTATGAACTCTATACTATCACTGGCCCTCTAACCCAAGCAACAACCAGCACTAAAGATGGTTTGCTACAATTCCATTCCTGTGTCTGTATATATATATATATATATAGTCAATTAATGCGTAGATATATATACATTTCGTACATTAACTTTCTCTGATATAAATTTATATATAATGTAGTGGAAGGGCTAGCAGCACTGCAGAGAGAGTTTGAGATACTGCAGAAATGGAGTGGCGATCCCTGTCTTCCATCATCCTTTGCATGGGAATGGGTTGAATGCACTAATACTACTATTCATGCCACTCCTCGTGTAACCTCACTGTAAGTGTGTACTGCTCTCTCTCTCTAGCTACTTTAATTCCCAAGTATATTATTAATAGTTAAATGCCAGAGTTCAATTGAAGTGATCATGTTAAAAAATGAAAAAACCAGGAAACTCAGTGGCTTCGGCCTGTTTGGCCCGCTTCCAGACTTTAGTTCCATGGATGGGCTGCAAAAGATGTGAGTCGCGTATTTAATGTTATTAATACAAATGTGTAATAAGTTAACCTTGCATATATCTCATTAATTAATTTCTATGCTTCCAATTTTCTTTTGATTTGCAGTGATTTTCACAATAACAGCTTGGATGGACCTATTCCTGATTTCCTTGGCTCCTTGCCTAATCTAAATCTACTGTGAGTTTCATCCATCAATTTAGCTAACTGAGCACTGCATACACGGGAACTAATTTCTTTTCTTCCCAGTGATTTGTCAGAGAATAGACTGAATGGATCCATACCCACCTCTCTTACACAAAATAAACACCTGAAATTAGTGTAAGTAAAATGTTCCTCGTCTCATCTCATGTGTTTTGGTTCTAGATTTGGTCTAATGCATGCTCTACAAATCTGTTATGTTCGTTATCTTGAAACCATTTTAATGTTTTAATATAAACTAGAGGGTTCTGTTTTTCTTTCAAATTGTTGTCAGTTTAACCGGAAATTGTCTCTCTGGAATGTCTTGTCCACCCTACACCTCATCACCACCACCACCACCAGCAGATTCAACACCACCACCAGATTCACCGGCCCCAGGTCCATCACCACCCAAAGATTCACCGCCGCCCTCAGGTCCATCACCACATAATTCACCACCACCAGCAGGTTCTCTGCCACCCCCAGGTCTATCACCACCTGATTCACCACCGGTGCTACAAACACGCTCTTCCAATGGCCCCAACCAATATGAAGCACCCCCGCCCCCTTTAGGCCACCATAACTCAAGTGAAATACCCTCTCCATCAGGAGGCAAGGAATGCAGTGACAAGCCACAGATGATACTAGGCATCATAATTCACGTTTCTCTTATTTCTTTTATGTTCTGTAACTTCTGAAAGATTTCCGTGTTTGATCATCGACCACTATGTTCACCATGAAACCAAATAATTGCTGTATATGCACTGTATGAATGTTTTCCGCAGCTTCATTCATTGTTCACCGTTACATAGTAATTCAAAATATTGTGAGAATAAATGTTTTTAATTAGGTTCAGAGAGAGAGGTAGAGATATCAATTTCTTATGCCTCTGTTAATAAAATAATGAATTTCATAACATCTAAGCAACAAAATCTCAGTTATACATCTGTTTAACTTGTACCTATCTTCAAGGGCCTCCTTATAACCATCGTACAATCTCTTCCCACCCGTTTTGATAAAGTATTACAGTAGTATGACAGTGCACCACTAACCTGGTACCAATAGGGGATTCGTACAGCAATTGTTAAAGCACAAGCTCATCTTGCAAAAGAATTTCATATATGTCTGTTCTCAGATTCAGCTCCTTATCCCGCATAACTTCTTGGAGATCTGACAGCTCTTTTGCAGATAAGGTAGAATTTAATTTGAGAAACCCATCAAGCCATAGCTTTTTTGACCTATGATAGATATTAAACAAAGTTAACAAGCAGCAGCCAATAAACAGATCATGAAATTGTTCAAGTCGCGATAGGACCATATTCATGGCCTTGTTTGGGCAGAAATTGTATAAGGGAACAAGATCTTACCATGGGCAGGCATGAATAGCTCGAAAGAAATTCCGCCTAGCTGCTGAAGGATTGCATACTACCTTCATCTCATATGCAATGTAGCAGCGCCAAAGAACAACTGAGTTATGAAACCTATCACTTGCCAATGCCCTTTCAAACAATCCACGGATCCTATGCTGTGATCCCCCTTTACTCATCTCAAATGACAACGCAAAAAGCCAGACAACCACAGACGGTTTCCTATGGATATTTGAGGTAAAAAAGAAAATGTATCACACATAATGCATATGTTACCACAATTTAAATAATCATATTACAATAAAGAGGGCCAGAAGGAAAAACATCTTACTTCTGACAGCAGTCATCAAACACCCATCGCAGTTTATTAGGTGTTGTATAAAGATGGCCAACCTCGATTAAATCATTTAAAAGTTCTGGGCTGAACGGAAATATTTGAAGCCCCTGCAATATGGACTCCCAGCATTTTGATAGACTTGATTGACCACGATGTCTCCAAAGCATCTTCATGTAAAAGTTGAACATAAATTCAAGTTGATAACTACGGCTCTTTCTCTCTGCAGTTCACATGCGGTCAAGTATATTCTAATTATGTTACAGTCAAATAATGAGCATCAGAAGGAAAGTGCAAAAGCTTAATATAATATTATAGAAGCTGTGATTTTTATTTCCATTCTCGTTAAGCATTTGCTGAATTAAGACTCAAGCCTCAGCAGTCAATTGACTCCTCAAAGTTCCAAGCCCTGTTAATTGGTTCCTTACAATTTGAAGCCTGTAATGGCAAATAGAGGTTGAATAAATTAGAATTTGCTCCTTTTTGTTCTCCGGGGTATTGATGCTGGCCTCATATGCAAATAGGTGAACTATCCTTTCATTAATTAGACTTGTCTTTTGATAAGTATATATTTCCTATATTCGTGCATATCTGGTATCTCTGATGTCTGGATTGCTTTGTAGAACATTCTCCCTCATTCTTCCACTACTTAGATACCTCAAAATTTTCATCACAATTATCAACACAATCAAGTGATGTTCAATATCATTACTAACACCTGCGCAGAATTAGATTTCATACTTTTACCAAACCTTTGACTTTCATAGGACATAAAGGGTCGAGGAACCAGAATATGACTGACAGAAATGAAGTAAAATACTTGAACCATCACATGTCAGTAATTAAAGAGGACATAATGAGTCCGACCAAAAAAAAAGAGGGCATAATGAGATGCTCAAGAAAAATACCTGGGAGCACCATTGAAAAAGCCTGATCTAGAACTTCAATACCAGCAGCCCATCCAGAGGTTAACTCTTCAAATAAAGCTGCAGAACATATGAGAGCAACAGATTGATCATCTATAACACCTCGCACCCATGCCATTTGTACTGTCCTTATTCTTTCTTTGAAACCTTGGCGTGCTCTCAGCAATTGCAAATTTGATGGTTGACTTTTATATGGACTATATGTTACACCACTTCCTAAGCAAAATAAAATATGCATCGCACGAAATGATGATTCACACCCACTGCCATTATTGTTACCAAGTTCCGTCTCAGCATACCAGAAATATAGAAGGGAAGCATTAGACCGTAATTCCTGCTCAATAAATTAAAGTAGATACATAGAGTAAATACCAACAAACAAAGTCCACAGAAAACCTTCAGATAAAAAATTGAAAAATTATTGAAAGGAATCCAAAACAAGGAAAGAAAGAGGTAACTCCTCAAAATATATGATGCCAAATTGGAGCTAATCCAAAACCTAACAGCCTCATGAGAATTCATAACTAACTGAGAAAAAATTAAGAGGTTTATCAAATTAATATCAGACTTGAGATATAAGAGATGGATCGCTAAAAAAAAAAATTTACAGAAGGTTGACAACCAAAGTCAGCATAACCACTCAACATAGAAGTGAAATATTTCAGACCAAAAATAAGACGTGAAATATAAAATTGTAGTAGTAAGGTTCAATATGATCGCTTGTTAACATGTAATTTGAAAAATAACATTACGCCAAAGGGCTCACAATCTCTCAACTATATGCTGCTATCAGCATTGACATGACTAACATGTACTTTGAAAAATAACATTATGAGTTTTCAGCACAAACAAACATCAGTAGCTAAATTGATATGCCACTACAAAACTTATTTTAAATAAACATATAGATCTTACCAAAGGAAGCCCTTCAATAGATGACAATGCCATGTCAAATACTCTTCTTGCATGATCAATATTTCCATGAAAAGCCTCCCTTCTTGCATAAACTCCACATAGCAATACATCCTATTTGTACAAAGTGCCAAAATAGACAAGATCAGGAATTCTATCATACAAATCCGTTACTCAATAAAGAAAAGGTTGCCTCTTTAGAGCATGTGAGAAGGTGCAATCATTTAATTTCGCAAAATGACCATCTTACTCACAACTGCTGCCTTTTAATAAGATACAGAAGTTAATAACTGTAGGCTATGCCAACTCAAATCCAATGTTGAGGGATAAAAAAAATTCACTACAGATTATTTATAAAAATATATATAAATAATAATTAACAACTTAAAATTTGCCTTGCTACCATCATGCATCTGTGCATTATTCATAAATAATGTTTATAGGAACTTTCTCAAATTATTTCATGTCCCTCATTGAAAACACTCAAAACCATTTTATAAACAATATGGGTTACACAAAACCTGGAAAAAATTACTAAATGAGGGCCAAACAATTCATAGCTTTAGAATTTAAGATATTAAAAGAACCTTATCTAAAAACAAGGACCTATATATGAAAGATAAGATGTGTGCATATCCACCATTAGAGACTCAAACATAACTACTACCTGACGGTCACTCTTTAAGAGAAACTTTGCGAGAGCTCGACATGGGGTAACAGAACAGCTGGAAGGATTCGAATTCATAACAGATAGCTCTTCGGCAACTAAAGCAGCATCTTCTAGGACAAAATTACGTGGAAAAACAGATAAACAGAGCAAGGTAGCATTACGAAGAAATTTCATCAGGTCTGTTCTTCTGTAGATGTCATTGGAGGTACCCAAGAGAGATTCCAAGCTGAAATTACTTGAACTGCCTTGTGTTTTGCTTAAAAAATTATGAACCCTTCTCAAAGTTTGTAACATAGAATCTGGCAATGCCTCAAAGCTAAGGACTTTCTCAGCCCAAGTTGAACTGTTTGTAGATATCCTGTTTTGGGGGAGGGGTAAAAGCATATCATCAATTAGTGTCTACTTTCATTGTGGAAGTCAGGTTCCCTTATTTTGTCAAAAAAAAGACAAAAGAAAATATGAACCTAGATCCAATGCAACAGTGGATAAGATTATACGGATAAAGTGATAATAGGACCTCACCACTGAGAGGTTTTCCCACCAAAGAAATCAATGAATTGCAATACTAGAGATAAACGGGCCTCAGATGAGCTCAAGGAAAATAAGTACTCGTTGACATCTTCAAACATTATTACTCTCGAAAGGTGCTCATCTGCTTCTCCATCGGGTGTACCAACATTATGAGAGATAGCAGCTGTTTCATATTCAAACCCAATGTAAGTAATTTGTGAGCATCGCTATCAGGAATGATGAATGCATAATAACTTCAAGCACATTTACATCTTAAACGGGAAAAGAGTTTCATTGCAAGACAGTGAATGGGAAAAGAACAAAGGGAAACAAAAAATAGGCAAAGACCAAGAGAAAGATGCATGCACCCATGAAAGAACATTCATATTCACAGAGAGAAAGAGTGAACCTCTTGCATGAACAGGCATCCATTGAACACAATCTCTCGATAACTCTTCTTCCGACCATTTGATCCAGGTTGAAGTGTCTTTAATCTCACCACTAGTACCAACATCAACATCAATTCCTAGCATCTTTAGCAAAGCTTCAGTATCTTCTTCTTTCTTGACATCTTCTTCCTCAAATTCTTCTTGAAACTCCTCAACTACAACATTACTTTCGGATTCCTTTTCTGTCTTTAAACTATTTTCCTTATTTTTGGTTAGTGGTTCCGACCAACCTGTCCAGCCACCTTCATTATCATGTGCAGTCTCCTCTTGGATAACCCTCTGCCTATTTTCTTCCTCTTTCTCCAACCATGTGGACCAACCAAGAGCACCTTCTTCTCCAACTCTTGCACCATCACTATTCCAAAAGTGCTCAAACAGTATCTGTTTACTCTGCTCAGTGAGGAGTAATGAAGGACAAAACAAACTGAATTCAATTTCAGCCTGAAATAAAGCAGTGGCCAACTCTTGATAGCCAGCCTGCCATTCA